TTTAATTATTAGAGAAAGAAGACGATTCGTTGTACCGATCTCGACACATAATCCTAGTCTGAATTCAGTTTACCCCCTCCCCCTCCCGCGCGAAGCGCGGAAGCTTTGCCGTGTCATTAGATTATTAAAGTGTTATTGTAAGTGGCCACTATACGGCCCTTTAGTGACTTTAAAAACATATGCTCTTCCTGGCTATTTGAGAATGTGTCAGTTTGCAACAGAAACGGAGAAACGCGCATCTTGTTGAAAATCATGTGATATCAAGAACATTTATACATCACTTGTATGGAATTGAAAAAAAGTCATGGTTCAATTTTATTTGGGGGGCTAGCGCCCCCAAGCCCCCCCACCAGTACGCCAGTGAAGAGTTATAAAAATAAATCAGTGCTACAAAAATGAATATTCCGCTTGCTCTTTTGGGGAGTCTCTTCATGCCTGATTATAAACATATTGTCGCCTAAGAGGAAATGGTGTACATCTTTCTAAATACATTAAGTCAAGGTCCTTCATTTCATGACTAATTAAAATTTACTAAAATGTATCTACTAAATATTTACAACCCTTGGACTGCACATTAATTATCGGCTGAAGTGAAGTGTGAAAAAAAGTATATTGCTTGTTTTTATACTATATAGCTAAGGAGTGTATTTCTTTAATGCAACATAAAGACTTCAAAAACATGTGAGGGGGTAGTCACTTCCGCCCCCTTCGCCACTCTTAATATGCACCCTCGTCCCTCGCATTTCGTCTCCGCCCCCAGTCATGCAAATCGCCACCCCTTAATATGGATGATTTCTACTTCTGCATTTGTTTAGAGTAATCACTGCCATAGCCATGGAGATCGTGCTTCACAATGTAACAGAATCAGGGTAACTATTTTAGTTGATATTCTGGTTGCTAGCTAGCTGACGATGCAAGCAGTAATAGCCAAAAGTTCCAGTTATTTCCCAATCAAAACCGGCATTAACATACTCTTACAAGTGGATCAACATCACTCATTAGCACACTTGTATAACAAAAGAAAATCCTTTGACCCAATATTTGAATCAAGTTCATCTGCATCTGAATTCAGAACGAAATTGAATTAGGTCGGATTGATACAAAAGTATAAAATTCGGAAAAAGAAAATTGATTTGAAAATATCATTTTGGGAAAAGAACTTGAGAATTTATGGAAACATCTGAAAAAGGAAATTCGAAAAAAGGCAAAATATCAGATGAACCGATCTTTGTACAACTCAGGTTGTATTCAAAGATTATGCGATAACAAAAAGGTCAAAGCAACGACAACATCATCAAGAACAGCCCCAACAAAACAAAACAGACCAAAAAAAAGCACCAACCATCTATAAAAAAATAAAAAAAATATGAACAAAAGTCAAAACAAAAACAAAGAAACATGTCCTCACCCTACCTTCCAACTACTCCGACTGAGAACTAATGATGAGACGAATAAAAAGGATATCAACAATCAGATCATACAAGACGCGAAAAGGACAACTACTGATGCAGACGCTTTCCCGATAGAGTGAATGCGACTATGCGAGTGTTGAGAGTGATTGGGGGTAGAGGAAGACAGTCTTTGGTAGAATGCTTAAAAACTGACACCCATATACCTGGTATTTGCGCGTCGCTACTTTGTCGTTCGGTAAAACGGACGCGCGCACCTGCCAAATCGCCCTTTTTTAACGTATGTAATTGGCGCCTGGCTTTTATTAGGTGACATTCACGAGATAGAAGACGACACAAAATGGTGCTATTCAGTGGGGTAACATTTAATGTAAGTGGTTTCAAAAATGCCCTCAAGCACTTTTTGTTGCAAACGTATCAAAATAAGAAGTCCCCGTTTTTCCCCGTATTTGGCAAAACTGGCCATTTTTTTTACATCGAAACTGTGACTTGTAGACCTGTATGATTTGTATCCGTATAATACTAATTCAAATTTATTCCTCTATGCATGGCCACCATTTCTGTCTTTCTCCCTCTCTGTCTCTTTCTCTGTCTCTCTCCGTCTATCTGTCTTCTTCTTCTCTATCTGCTGTTTTCCCTTTTCTGTTTGTCACTTTCTCGTTCTTATTTTCTTTACGTATCATCCTCATCTTGTCATTCTGCTACTGTTTCTGATTTGTTTTTTTGTCTCGTTAATCGTTTGTTTGTATTGTCTGTCATGTTTTTAGAATATAAATGTATAAAGTTTAATTATTATTGTGCGGACCTACACCTAACAAGCATTGATTTCAAGTAGATTCGTTTTTTTCATTTCCTGTAACCAACTCATTTTGCATTACAATGACTACAAAACAATGTCAAAGATTTAGCGGCTCATTCCTGTTATATCATTACGTTTATTATTGTCTGTCATTGTTTATATTATGTGAAAAGAAATGAAAAATAAATTCGCTCTGTATAGAGCGACCACTACTACTAACAACATAATAGTAATAGTTGGCAGCAATTCATTGCTACCTTAACGCACTTTTCATGGGTGAACAAATGGAAATAAACCATAGGAAAAACTAGCCCCAAAACCCCCCAAAACAAAACTCATAACCAAACAAATAAACAAACAACCTTTCTCCATCAAAATAATCTGACAATTAATGCTCACACAAAAACATATCTAATCAAAAGCAGATATTTCAAATTAGTTCACAATTTATTGCAATTCACTTCAACATTAAAACATATTTCAAAGATTAACCTTAAATCGAGATCAAGGAGTATAATTCATTTGGAAATATCTCTCCAATAACAAGCACTTTGGTGTAAAATAGGAACATTTATACATTTTATAAAATATTTGATAAATATACAGTATTCATTTTATTTTGAATACATAGAAATTCTGAAAGAACTGTGAAGGAAGATAAATGTATCAGCTCTGGAGTAAAGGCACAACATTCTCATGATATAAAGCACATCAATACTACTGATATCATTAAAGGGGAAGTCCATCCTGATATTAAGTTGCTTTTAATAAAAAGCAGAAAAATTAGAGGAATAGGCGAGTGAAAGTTTGAGCAAATTCTGATGAAAAATGAGAAATTTTTGAAGTTGCGATTAATCAAACATAAATTGGCAACTCAGTGACGAATTTTGCGAGTTCCCCTTGTTATTTTGTTATTTTCCCTTGAGAATATTGTCAAAACCTTTCCAAAGCAAAAGACCTTAACTTTACTTCAATACTCTGTTATGCATAACTTAATCATGCTTGTTACATATTAAATTCTCATAACACACATCAAACATTTGTCCTTAAAAAATATCAGTCTTTATGTCTGTTTTAGCCATAATGACCATGGCAAAACCAAATTAGTCTGATGGAAAAAAGAGGTAATGTCTGCTTTAATTATTGTAATTATACATAACAAGCAACAAATAAAATGAGTATCAAAGTGCCACCTCAGTGATGAACAAATTCAATGCTAAACCATTCTATAGTACGGCATCATGATGCTTGTATGATTTCCGGTGTGATAAATGTGCAAATGCAGTATTAAATGTCATGCAACGACCAAAGAATACTGGTCATTAAAAAGGACCTCATTTACCCACTACAGACGCATGTAGGAGTATAGCATGTCATTGCTTATGAAATAATGATTTGGACGATTCTGCAATATTCTATGTCAGTATTTCCTGACTTCCCGACACAGGATTACATGGAAATGTACTCCAACTCCTCAAGGAGTGTGTTAAGTGTTATTACCACCTGATAATTACCAGTAACAAAAGCTTACTACCGCCATTTTTATGGCTGTTTTTCCGCCTACTTATAACATCTTAGAAAAACTCATACCCGGTATATCTTTTCTTCTTTAGTTTAAGTAGTCGGTGTATTTCTCCTTTCACAAAGACAGCTAATGCAGAACCGTCCAAACCATTATGTCACCATGAATAATTAATGGGTACGCAAGATGGATGCAGTCATTAAATGGATGGTGCATGTATGCATTTTTATCCTTATTCTATACATTGCCTGCAGAGAGCCAGAAGGGCACTGACCCCTGTCTTTCAACACACAATTAATGTCCTTTTAACACTCAATATATATGTTGTATATCCAGTACTGAAACATTCATATCTAAACTCAAAACTCAATCTTTTCATATCAATAGTAGTAAAGGACAAGTAATGCTGTAAATTTTTTCTTTGTAAGAACTTCATTGTTTTCTATATATGCTTCTGTTCTCTATATATCGTCGCTGTTTTCACGAAGTGACGGTAGTGAAAAAAAATTGCATTCATTTTGCGTTACAATTTTCCTCACTACCGTCACTTCGTGAAAACAAGGACGATATGCTTGTTTACTCATCTTCCTTTTATAATCTTGTTATATTTATATATATTGTTAAGCGCACTGAAATGTCAATAGACATGCAATGCACTATAAAAGAACAATATTATTATATTATTATTAATATATAAAACAGTGAAGGGCAAAGCAAACTCATTAGTATTATTCATAAATCTAATCATGAAATATTCAGTGGGATTGTTTGGCATGTCTGCCGAGAGACACAAGAGTATTATCTCATCATCTTCAACACACAGTTAATGCTTTTCTGGAACTCAAGAGACAATGCATACATAGTTCAGAGAACTTTGAAGTGATACATATTTATAGATTCAAGGAAATATTCAAGGTGATCAAAAAAGTCATAAAAATGGATGGAATATCATCAATGCATATACTATTGAAGTAGTTTTTATACTCAGTCAAGAGGCATTTATAGTGATGAATTACTTGAAAAATAACAAATAATTAAAAAAAACACGTATTTGAACGGATGGAATATTATCAATACATATACTATTGAACTATTTTTTTAAAAACACAATCAAGAAGTATTTATAATGATCAAGCAGTTGAAAAATACCAAATAATTTAGTATTCAAGGCAATCAGAATAAAAACACTTATTTGAACAGATGGAATATTTTCAATGCATAAATGATTGAAGTAGTGATATACACATTGAAGAGGAATTTATAATGATCAAGCAGTTGAAAAATGACAAATAATTTAGTATTCAAGGAAATCAGAATAAAAACACTTATTTGAACGGATGGAATAGAAGTGTATACATTACATAAGTACATGAGAAAAATAAACATGCATAGCAAAATTGTCAATAAGCAACCGTCAAGAAAAAGCATTGGTCAATTTTTTTAAAACCGTTTAAGTATTCAAGGTGAATGGCTTTCACATTCTCATTCGTATGGATGGAATATACATGCATATGAACATATTTTATAAGTATCGCAATCAACATGAATTTATTGTGAAACAAGAACTTGTAAAACTTTTGATATCATGTAAAATTCAAGGTTATTGTTGGATGGATATAACAGTAATCATGGACGGAATATATACATAGATCTATGCAGTAGTATATTACATATGTCATTGGTATACAAGCATATATATATATATATATATATATATATATATATATATACATATTAAAGAAATTTAACATACAAATAAGTTTCATCGGAACAAGTAAGTTTTGATAAGTTACACCTGATAGTGCAGTGCAGATGAACTGCTAATCAATTTTAGTATACTTCAGAGACGGTTGCATAAAGACATATCATTCAAAAGAGAACGTAGCTATAGATGTGAGTACAGAATTTGTGAACATCACAATACCATATGGATATGGCAAATATATGGTTTAGACCCAAAAGTAGTAGCTAGGAATCCCTACATTTACTAATCATGGTTGATAAAAGAGTAAATCATATTGGTAAGATATGTACTTGGCCATCATCTGAATATATGATATAAATGTTAATGCTGTTCTATGCAATCAGTCATTAGTGTTCAGATAGTGGTTTTAATCCTAATCTATATCAAGCCCAAGACACTGTCCTTGCAGGCACTCATTCATTGGTGTTTAGACAGTAGACTTTTAACTCTGATTAAAGTCAAGTACTACACATAAATCTTTTAGGTAATCTTTCATTGGTGTTTAGACAGTAGACTTTTAATTCTAATTGGTGTTGAGTACCACACATAAACCTTGTAGTTAATTTTTAATTGGTGTTTAGACAGTGGTGTTAATCCTAATCAGCGTTAAGCACCAGACACACTCCTTGTAAGACCCAATGTGAAGTGTGTTCAGACGTAGCAAGATCTGCCTCAAACACCAAACCTACACCCATGGCGTTACGACGCTGAGACGTGGTGTATACCGGCGTACGGAATGTATTCTGTTGGAAACGAACAAACACAATGATTGAAGTTAGTCGGAAGTAGGTAAAAATCGTTCTTCACCCTTGTTCTCTTTTTAAAATGATAGCCTGTTCACACAAAAGGAAAGTTATACAAAACACGTAAACAGAAACGTCTTATAAACAATCATCATATAGCGGGAGGGCCTACACATATGGAAAGAGAATCGTATGAAGAAATAATGTATTTTAAAAAAGCAGTCTTGATGTGCCAAGCTGACATGACTGCAGGTCAATCATCAGCTCTTTCATAATAAGGCCTTGCCCAGTCAATATATATTTTTGTTACAATGCAATGTTCATATTATTAGAGGAATCTGATCCTTTATCAAGTTTTCATTCAAAACGACAAAGCTCAATCCACTGTATCGCTATACAATGTTCACACAAGAAAAATGTAATTATCATATAGCTATACAGGGGGTGTTTCACAAAGACTAAGATTGACTTTAAGTTGGACTTAACTTTGACAGGCCGTTCATGCCACTGTTTGCTCTTACTATTTACTGGCATTGGTCTCTGAAGGGACGTATAAAATCGTGGTCACAAATCTACATTTTTTGATAGTTCATTATTGAAGGAAAAGACATTATCTAAAGATCATAATTGAGAGACCAATAGTGAGAGCAACCAGTGGCATGAATGGCCTGTCATAGTCAAGTCCAACTTAAAGTTGATCTCGGTCTTTGTGAAACACCCCCCTGTTTGTATATCTATCTATACGATGGATTTGCTAGTGTGAACTAGGCCGGGTAGGGGATGAACTCACCTGTAGTTTCATCAGTGCTCTTTCACAATAAGGCCTTGCCCAGTTAACATACAGTTTTTGTACAACACGATGTTTGTATTAGGATCTGATTCTTTATCAAGATTTCATTCAAAACAAGGATTACTCCACTGCATCACTATACCATGTTCACACAATAAAAATAGAATTATCATATAGCTACATGTATACAGAGGGGTGTTTCACAAAGACTAAGATCGACTTTAAGTTGGACTTAACTATGGCAGGCCGTTCATGCCACTGTTTGCTCTTACCATTTACTGGCATTGGTCTCTGAAGGGACGTATAAATCATGGTCACAAATCTACATTTTTTAATAGTTCATTATTGAAGGAAAAGACATTATCTAAAGATCATAATTGAGAGACCAATAGTGAGAGCAACCAGTGGCATGAATGGCCTGTCATAGTTAAGTCCAACTTAAAGTCGATCTCAGTCTTTGTGAAACACCCCCCTGTTTGTATATGTATATGATGGATTTTCTAGTGTGAACTAGGCCGAGGAAGGGGATGAACTCACCTGTAGTTTGAGTCTGTGCGCTTCAATAGGGATCACTTTGAGGATGGGCAACTCCTGAATGAGAACCTTAGGGCGTGGCCTCATCAGACACGCCTCATCAACGTCCCAGGCCGCACCCTCCAAGTAGAGTCCAGTCACAAAGCAACCTGTGGTACAGAGATAATACAGATGGATGGAATGCATATCGAGGGGTCAGTGACACAAAGACCCAACTCCATTTTGGCCATTTTGTGAAAAAGTGGTTTATGTGTCACTGAGCACTCAGGCCTTAAGCCTATGTTTCACTAGCAATTGACTTCAATGGGATGTTGGGTGGAGTTAAGTCTTTGTGTTTCCTGGAATGCCCACATTTTTCTGAACATTTTCATATCAAATACTCATTTTGGCAAAATATGGAGTTAAGTCTTTGTGTCACTGAACCATCGATATAGTGTCTAGATTTCATACCTGCCAACCTTTCACAGCGAATATTGAGGAGTTTCTCAAGGAAAAAATAGGATAACAGTCTATTTTGTATACTTTTCACACAGAATATTTCAGCAAAAAGAGAAATCAAGGGTACAAAACAATAGCTTGAAGACCCTCCAAAACATGAATGATTGGCAGCTATGAGATTTGTATTCATTGCCCAAAATCCTACACGATCACTCATGCCCTTGACAAATTTCATGATTCCATTTTACAATGGTTTTGGGATCATTGTATCTGATGCTTTTTAAACAATTTCCACATTTCCACAAATACATGTATGTGTTCAGATTTTCATTCATTACAATTTGTATAAAAAAAAAAAACAATCATCGGCTCGGCAACGCCATCCATATACGGGGGGATGAAAAAGCCCAGACTTTCCTCTTAAAATTGGCAACTGGTATCTTTGATTGATCTTAACCTTACATGTTCATATTTTATTACCATATACATGTTTATATATGATAGGACTTAAGCCATAGGCCCAGGGACCTGTTTATCAGTGATTGATATAAGCTACGGATATTGTGGCACTTGACAAACAGTGAGCAAATTCATTACAGAAAGAAACGTGACAGTTGTAATGTATAAAACAGGGCCAAGTAGTCGATTATATAGCAGTTAGTTACAATAAATGTTAGTTTTTATTCAATCTATAATAACTATAATCTATATTCATAGGTTTCTCAAATTTCTCCCTGTATAACCTACCATTTAAAACAATTCATTTTGACGTCTTTACAAAGACTTGATTATATAATGTCATACTTTGAGTATATTTCATATTATGTTATAATTTTGTCATTTATATGAATTGTGAAACAAATAAACTTGAAAACTTGAAACATCAAGTACTTGATTATCTACTTGCTATCTTTATATTGGCAGTTAGGCACAATAAACATCAACATCAACAGCCCCCCCCCTCCCCCCTCCCCAACCAAGAAAATATGACTTTTCATTGTACTAACCTGAATGTGCCCTCTCCGTGACCTCATCAGGGGTGACGTAGTGAGTCACGGACGTATAGAGGGTCGACTTGTCGAGTGGCCAGCCGTTCTTACGGCACGTGGCTTGAACCAGCGCGGTCAGGTACGACTCTGGGATGTGAAGACCACTGAGCCACATGACCGGTGGTTCAGCTTCATTCACCTGAGAAGTATAGAGGGATAAGATTTAAACATGAGAAACAAATTCTGATGATAGAGTAAAGGACTACATATAGCAATATACATTCCTTAAATATAGCATGATTTTGTCACACTGCAAATCTGCTGAGACAGAGTAGAAATAACCTACATAGTAATTAAAAATTTTATTCAAACAAAAACTTTCTTTGTGATGGCTAAAATGATGTATAAAGGACATTAATCTTCATTATATCAAAAAGTTACTCATCATTCTGCTAACTGTTTGATAAGATACAATGGATAATGCTATAAAGTTAACAAAACCAGAAGAGCAATAAATCATATGCCCAGCTACAGGGCGCAATTGGATGCTCATTTTGAGGAAAAAAAACATTCCCAAATTTGTTACTATCCTTTGACTACATCTCACTATGAATATGACGGACAAAGAAAGCGGACAAAATATACAGTTCCTCAGGTAGATAAAGGAACATCCCTTCACTGCTATTATGTAAAAAGGTGTAGAACAGGTGTCACATGCATATTTACCTGTTCTACATATTTTTACATAATAGCAGTGAAGGGATGTTCCTTTATCTACCTGAGGAACAGTATATTTTGTCCGCTTTCTTTGTCCGTCATGTTCATAGTGTCTAGTACCCCATAAAATTCAGTCCATACTTTGTGAAATCCAATGAAAGTGAAAGCTCATGATGTCCGTCATCACAACAAAAAAGTTTAGAAAAATTAGAGAAAATTTGTATGCACACATTCCTTTTACAATGAAATGAAAGTTCCTAAAGTAATCAACAATTGATGTATAGTGTAATCAGCTACATAATGAGAAAAAGCTAGATTAAAAGGCCTGAAAGTCTCATATTTACCCATGTTGTGTACTGGTTGAAGCGTCGTTGGAAGTGCAGCATCCAGTTTCCGAGCGACTTGAGAGTGTCTGGAGCCAGTTTGATCCAGATCTGAGGGATCTGACCGTTGAAGAGTGCTCGGGCCACGTTGTCAAGCTCGTTACTCATACCAACTTCTCCCTTCAATGCCTGAGGTTGAAGTTTAAAAAGAATATTTTTATTATCTAAATATTAGATTCAATATTAGGCTCTTTTGTTAGTTCCTTTATTAGGTTAGGTGCTTCATTTCTTATCTTATCTTGTGTTCCTTTTTGATGTGTTTTTATGTTAAATATTATATCTTGTTTTCTTAAAGGGTTGGTTTCTTACAAGGTTTGTTTCCTTTTTGGCCACTAGCTTCCTCAATTTTTATAATTAATCTTATGTATTGTCATACATCTGTCTGTTTATATATATTTTTTTTTATCTGTTGATCTCTCAAACTATCAACAAACCAATGCCAGTAAATGATGAGAGAAAGTAGTGGTATGAACGGCCTGCCATAGTTAAGTCCAACTTAAAGTCGATCTTAGTCTTTGCAAAACACTCCCCAGGACACTTACCCTCTGTAACTCTGCCAGCGAGCGAGCCATCCTGGCTATCAACCGGTTGAATCTCTCTAGCTCCTGCAGCAGTACAACGGTCGTAGGCGAGATCTCAAGGCCGTACTTCTTGCGGATCTTGTCCAGGTCAAACTGCTGAGGTAGCTTGGCTTGGATGTCTGATGCTATGCCGGCAATGAAGTCATCACGACTGATCCCTTGGCCAGAGTCACCTATTCAGGAGAATATACCGGTAGCAAGATAATAAATAACGAAAACAACTAACAATCACAGATGATGAGATGATGATGATATATATATATATATATAGTTCTGGTCATTGGTAGCAGTAGCAGTGTTTCTGTAAAGCCATGACTGACATATCATTTTATCAGAAGTTATCATTCCACCCGTTTTTCTCCACCTACTATCTGTTCCTACACCTGCAATATGTCATGAAAAAATAGAGGAAAAATCAATGTTGTTTCTGGTTTTCATGGCGTTTTCCATATTCAATGAAAGCAATGATCACATCAACTTCTTTTAACAGACCAAATGTCAGGAAATACTTCTTTAAGATTCTTCTTTTCCTTCAGTGGCTATAATTTATACAGGTACATGCAAATCAAGTTAATACTGACCTGTCTGAGGCTGAAGTTCAACCAGTTGTGCCCACATATCTCTAGCTGCCTGTGTGTAATAGTTGATCTCAGCATTGGGATGAAGACCGAACACCTCGGGTGTGTTGGCCAGGGGTAGTCCTTCAATCAGTTCTGTACAAAGGCAATCACATAGATATCATTAACATCACTGGCTCAAGAATTAGTTCTTATCATCACTGGTAAAATATGCGAGTTAAAAATATATGACACTGTTAAAGATGTTCATGCGTGGGTATATAGTCGTTCGTGAAGTAGGCAACTTGGCGATAACTTTAACACGGAGAAAGGCAACAATAAACTACGTAAATGAGGGCATTTGCAATTTCTGCTTAAGATCTATTGCCTATAATACCTCAGCAAAGTTTAATGCACTAGCTTTCATATATGTCAAACTTGGTTTCTACAACCCTTAGCTTTGTGATAAAATATATGACACTCTTAACTCGAAGAAAGGCAAAGATAAACTAGGTAAATGAAAGCATTTGCAATTTCTGCTTAAGATCTATTGCCTATAATACCTCAGCAAAGTTTAATGCACTAGCTTTCATATATGTCAAACTTGGTTCCTACAACCCTTAGCTTTCTGATAAAAACACATAACAGATTCTTCTGTTGTATTTGCCTACTTGTACATTGGAAAGCATTAACCCATACCTTGGTGTTAAAGGATATGGATATTTTGTCACATGTTGCCTAGTGACTGGAAGGCACACAATCTCATCGTTTTGGGGCAATTTATAATGAAAAACATTTTAGAAGTCAAAAGAATGCAGCAGAATATAAAATGCTTCTAGATTCACTTCTAAAAATACAATTTTCGCTCTATGTCAACGAACAAGTCAACACCAAACAGGAACAGCATTTACGGCTGTAAATTTGTTCAATTTATATGTCATTGACTGTTGTCATGAACATTTTCTAGAATATATAGGTCAGTTAATATTGTCTGTTGGAAGCCAGGGGAGTACAAATAATACAAATAATAATTCCTCTGGCTCTCAACAGAGAGATTAAATTATATTACACTGTTATGTTATTTATGTTCTTTGTAGTTATTTGTTTATGATATGTTTTGTATTGTTATATGTTATACAAATGTTAGTCGTAAGACAATTTTTCTGTCTTCCTTTTACTTGTGCAGGACAATAATCAATCAATTGAATTCAATTCAATTTACACCTTCTCAAAGACTTACGTGTATAATTATCCTTGGGTCCGTACTCTGGAATGCAGTAGTCTACCGTCTCGTTGTTGTAGAAGTGGAATGGTTGGAATGTATCGAAGATGAAGTCCCCCATGTATTCATCCATGTAGGTGTTCAAGATACGTCTGTCAAAGTTATCAATGGCTCGGCCACCGTACATGACCTACAGGGAGAGATTGATGATTGGTTCTCAGTTATTCACATTTTGTTTGTTATTATGAGCAGATGACATTGTACTGGTCAAACCCATATTTGACAACCTTCCACAGTAAAAATGTAAGAATCTCTGAAGACAAAGTTAGGAATAAATTGTATTTTACATGATTTTATACAGATTTTTTCACAGTATGAGAGATTTTCTTTTCCCTTGTGCACTGTGCACTGTAAAGGCAGAAAATGGGAATTTTTCCTCCAAAGCTGGAATGGTGTGCAGCTATGCAAACCCTGACTTCAGGCCAAGGCTGACTACACCGTATGGATGTGGAAAATGTATGTCAAACTGCTACAAATGTTTGTCAGCTATTTTCAGCAGCTGAATTAATACCTATTATGCATTTGCTTATTTGCGTATTTGTGTAAATTAGCTGGTCACTTCATAATTCAAGAAACCACGTGAATCTAATACATTAAAGAATTGAGGGATATATATAGAAAATCAAATAGCAAACACAAAATAAAGTCTGCTTTATTTACAACAAAGTTCAACATTACATTTTCTTTCGTAACGTGTCATGCTGGCAAATATCAATACTACTAATAATAGTCACATTTGTGAAGCACTTAATACTATGTTTGTAAATGCTTTACATTACAATTATTGCAAATGGGTTAGATATCCATGTGCCCAAAGATTTTTTTTCTTCAGTAGATCAGGGGCCTGTCCTATAAAGAGTTGATATTAATTGCAACTTATTTGCGATTAAGATCAATCGCAATTATGTACAAAAGATATGGGAGACTAAGAACTTGTGATTGATTGGAGGACTTGAGATTGTTTTGGATCAATCGCAACTCTTTATAAGACGGGCCTTGATGTCTGCTGAAAACAGTTGAACTGCCCTCCTTCTGGCTGCCTTTCAACAGACAGCCAGGAAGACATAGTAGTCGATATCCAGCAAATAGCTCACCTCTCCAATCAGGTACTTCAGGCTGTTCCAAGGGATCTTGGTGTCACCTTGCTCAAAGGCTTTGGTCAAGTACGTATTGAGGATCTCCTGGCACACCCGGAAATCCGACTCGTTGAAGTCGTACGGAACGTTCCAGCCGACCTTGCCATACTTGCGTCTCTCCTGGACCACGGCATGGAAGAAGGCTAGGACAAAGACCAGAGGTTTGAAGGATTCGTGAGGGCAGTCCTCCAGGACCTGGGCGGAGATCTTGTGGAAGGTGCTACGTAGGTTGAGCTTGAGACCGTTGGGAGGTTCAGTCACAACCTGTATAGAGAGTGAAATCATGCAAGGTTTATTTCAAATCTTAGAAGAAAGTGTACTAGCATTATGACGATACATGTATGTTTTGCAGTGGCAAAGGACATGTCCTTGTGATACATTTTTCCTTGATTTTAGTTTCTCATTATAATCGGACAAACCAACCACTCATTTGAGAGTTTCTTTACTGTTCAGCCCAAGTATCAGGCTCCTTACCAAATGCCAACAGGAACCAGATGGTTCAAGTATAAAGCTTAAGAAACCATGAATATTCAGTAGTAAAGATTCAGGAGGCGCGATAGCTCAGTTGGTAGGGCAGTGGTCTTGTAATCCGGTGACCCGTGTTCAAAACCGAGGCAATGCGCTAGTGCCCTTTGGCAAGGCATTAATCCTCATTACCAGGTCTCTCAGAGAGGACCTAAAGCCGTCGGTCCTCTGGTTGCTTACTAACAAGCTTTTATGCTTTCTTAGCAGTCAGGTAAAATAACCACCACTAGTAAAGCGGTTAAGTAGAGACGTTTGGTTGAGACTTGCCTTGAAGGATCTCTGGAGGATGCCGATGGGGAAAGCTGGGGTGGGGTCGGTGGTCAGCCAGAGTCTGAAGTCCGGATGAGGCTTGACAATCCTCTCCAGGGCCTTCTCCAGATCACGCAGCCACTTGGCCAACAAGTGACAGTTCTGCAACATGAGCCACTGTCCCCTGGCTATGGCTGTCTCTAGCAGTTGAAGAGCAACCTGCAGAAGGAAGAATGAGAATTAACATCATTGTTACTACAAGGCCTATGGTACATGTAATTACAATGCAAAGGCTGGATTGTAGTGGTACACTAGTAATTCATTTCAGACTAGCTAGGCTCTCAAGGTTTACCTTTGACCTCATGATTCCATAATCTAATCAGTTCATTAGCTCTGCAAGATACATACATGACCCAAGTGTGGCAGTAATCCATCAATCAACGGACAACCAGAAAACATAATTCCTCCAGCTACTTTGTAGCGGAGGCATACAAAACATTTTTTTTAAATATCTCACCTTCTCTTGGCCTTGACCCATAGAGAGGAACTTGAGCTTGTTACCACCGAAGCCAGACCTCTCGGCCAGCTTGGTGAGATCACTGGCCGGATCGGAGCCGGGACTCAGGATGAAGACGATCGGAGACAGCGGTGAACTCTGCTCAAAGATGGCCTCAAAACTGATAACGGGAGGCGTGACGTACTTCTCGCCCATGCAGGACGTGACGAAGTCTGTGATGGCACGGTAGACGCGGTCCACGCGGAAGCAACGCAGGAGAAGGAGGCGTTGGAACATGGTGAGACCGTCTTTGTATTTCATAGGGAAGGCTACCTGCTCTGGTGCGTCTTGGTCGTACCACTGTAGGTGATAAGAAAATATACCAGTTATTTGTAATCATTTACCTAACCTAAAATAAAAGCACTCAAGTTATTCTCAAAGTAAGAAATGAACACATATAACTCTCATTATAACAGGAAATGTATACTTGTACAACCCAAAATTAACATTCAAATGAACAATAAAACAAACTTTGCTAAATCCTGGTGCACACTTCTTTTGAAGTGGTGCAGACTCGGGTAAGAAAAAGATTGAATAAAGTCCATTCATATCGGTTTCTTGCCATGGCGGTTGTCAACAATGACAAAAAGTCACAAAGAATCAGTTTGACAGTATTTCAGAGACGATAGTAATTTAAAAAATAATAATCCTTCTCTGTGTTGTTGTTGTTTTAGTTTTATTGGTGTGTATCATTCATTTATGAATATTTATGCCCAATTCAAGTTGCATCAAACAACATTAAATGGAAGCAGAAAAGAGAAGGGAGAAAAAAAATCTATGCTGTTCAATTTTTCGCATTTTGCAGAGATTCCAGACAGGCTGTCTACTCTTCCAATAGCGCTAACCTCCTTCCAGAATTTCTCATTTTTCTCCAGGTCATCAGGGAGAGTGTGGAAGACATCCGCAAGCTCCATGAGCTTCATGACGTCCTCCCAGCCCTGCTCGGGGATCCACTTGTGAGGGCGCCCCCGACGGTTCTTCTCCAGGGACAGGTTGCCCTTGATGAAGAAGTCCAGCTCCTCCTGGGGCAACTTGTCCTCCGACTGCTCCAGTTTGATGGTCATTTGGAAGGAGAAGAGCAGCTTGTGCTTCTCAAACAAACCTGAGGGAAGAAGCAGCAACATAATTGAGTACGGTTATGCCAATGAAAACACATAATCAGGCTAGCACTCTCTAATATGACACCTTATCATTGGAGACTATTCAATTTTGGTTAAAGGGATCGCTTAACAATGTTAAATCTGAGATGCACGGCCTTACGTGTTATCAGTGTCTGTGATATAGTGTTATATTGAAGCCCTAAAAAAATTGCGCTTCAAAATGATCAAGAAGTGCTTCAAACAGTAAAAACCTTTGAGTGACCGGTTTTACCATACTCACTTTCCCCAATAGACTGCAGTGTTATGAAAACTGTTTGGCAAACACAAAATTTGATTTAGATTATCAATCATAAATATCTTGAATATCAGACAGGCGATCGGCTTGTAAAAGTCATGGGGTTCCTAACTAACCTAAAGGTTTATGAATATCATTGCAGCATGAGCTAAATCAAGGATTTTTTTTTAAAGGATCTAAGACAAATTTACCGGATCCCTTTAACATACATGATACATGTGTTTTTTTAGTGCAGAATTATTTTGGGCGTTAGTGTGGGTTGAACTTGGTACATAGAGAGAGACTCTCATTTTATCATGCCCTCTACTCATCATGTACTGCAACTGAGATTAATGTGTGTCAGCAAACGCATCTGGCATCGTAGTACTTCTGTGTTTCAAAGCAGAATTATGATGACTGCTGCCTCCATCTTTATTCCAACTCCATGGTGACTATTTAAAATTCAGCAATATGATCTCCATGTCCAAGTATAATCTTCACATGAGAAATCTCCTAGCAGTTAATTCTATCCTGACCTTTTCCTTTCAAATGTACAGATAATTGCTCATACTATCTATCACTTCGGTAATTATATCTGTTGCATACTTACTCTACAGTGTATTACTACCACTACCATCATTATCATCCACCATAGCAAACAAATCTCTCTCCCCCCCCCCCCCCCATCTGTGAATATCTTTAAATAAAAACTGAAAGCACATCTTTTCAACTAACTGTAAATCTAAGCATATCAGGAGCTCTTGTAGCGCTTTAGAATAAATACTTAATGTTGGATAGTTTCTGCGCTCTATAAATGTATTATTATTCTTATTATTATCATTATTCCTTACCTGTGCAAGCATAGTTGTAGATGTTATGCGTGAGGGTGTCCATGATGTTGCGGAGTCGTTTCATCAGGATGGAATCGGGTAAACTCTTCTTGAGTGACAGCTGGAAGACTTCCAGGAAGGCAGCCAGCGAGTACTGGTACATGCTGTTAATCAGAGCCATCTCAGAGAGGACAAAGAACAGGATAGCTCCACGTTTGGCGGCCGGTCGGTAGCCATCGCGAAGCTTGTCAATGTCTATGGCCGTGGCGGCAGCCAGTTTCAGCTTTTCTGTCACCTGTTGGAAGATGAAATTGTCGAATCAACTTTCCACATCACATCTTATGATATACAAATATACAATGAAACTTGAGGATCTATTTAAATTTATATACCTCTCTTTAGTATGTTGAATAAATCTAGTCATCTGATTGGTCAAAATTTGAGTTGTAATTTTAGTGATATCAGTGGACTTATACTCATGACAATTTTTGTGAAACGATGTCCAGCAAGACAAAGTAATGCTTACCTCAGAAGCTTTAGACTTTGTCTCCTCCAGAGTAGATACCAGCTCCACGTTGTCCAGCATGTTACCAGTGGAGGTAGCCAGTTCTCTAAGCAGGGAGTCTTCAAGATCCTTCAGGAGTCGTTTGTTATCGCTGGTCTCCTGGATCAGACGTTCTCTCTGCTCCTCCAGCTCCTTACGCTCAAAGCCTACGATGACACTAAGCAGCTGGTCTTCTAGACCCTGTCATAATCAAGAGGATTAGATTGTGAATGAGCAAACCATTACACATACTGCTTAAAGAGAAGGTTGAGTTCTGGTCATGCAATTGCATTGTGAAAGAAACAGTGTGGAATTGATCAGACAAGGTTGATCATCTAGCATATATTGGTGTGTACTGCAAGGTTCTGGAATCATCAAAATGACAAGAATTTGGCCCAGTCTTGATAAAGTTACAAGACTATATACACAGAAAGATGTACATGGGACTACACAAACATGTGGCATAAAAATCTGTCCCGATTTGGTATCTAACAACGTTCCCCCCCCCCCTTTTGGGTAAGAAAATTGGGGAAAACTAGGGAAGAATAGAGAAAATAAGGGAAATTTCAGGAAAATAGGGATAAAATCAGGAAGATAAAAAAGAAAAGAAAAAAATCAGAAAAAAAAAATGAATAATCAGGAAAGCGATTTAAATCGGGCAATTACCAGGCCTTTAAAAATACACCAAAAAAGTAAAAAATATCCATTGTTCTTACTTTGAGTGTGACAGTGTAGTTGATGACCATAGCCTTGCCAAAGACAGATGGTGTGTACTTGGGGTTGGCCAGCTTGGTGTCCAGGTAGAGACGGAAGTTTGGATCGTAATCTACCTCCTTGTCTCCAAGCATGATGAACTCCCTGCCAGCAGCACCTAGGAAAATAGGAGAGGGATCAAATCAGGATCAGGATTAGATTAGGAAACTGATTTGTAATAGATTCAAGAGATACATAATAGCAGATCTTTGACCTCATGACCCTAAAATTTAATCAGTTCATTGACTCTGCAAGATACATACAAGTCCTGAGTTTGACAGTAATCCATCTGTCAGTTCTAATGATAATGTGTTCACAAGCCATTGATTATGATGATTGAATAATGATGAGTTATTCATTAGAATTTGTATTTCTCATATAGACAATAATCTTAAACGTTCTTGTTTGATTTGGCATATAATTAATTGTTCTGTTTCATGTATGAATGTTCTATCTTTAATACTCCTATTGTTCTTTAGTATATAATGCAGATGCTTTTATGTGATTTCATCTATTGCACAAACGTGCCTTGAACATTTGTTATTAAGTGGATATGGCACCTTACAAATCTCATATTACGATTACTTTTACTATTATCTATTACAATGTAACATGTAAAACACATTAAAATTGTAATACAATAGAAGATGCATAACTGAAAGTTTAAAAGCCCATTATAAACAAACATAAGATGAATATCAATGTTCATTGTCTATATGAGAAATACAAATTTTAATGAATAACTTATTATAATCAAAAGATCATAATTAATTCATAAGTATTCTAAACTATTGTTGCCATCCATAGAATCTTGATTCTCATGATCTCTTCAGCCGATTTCTCAACATGAATTTTCAAAAGTTAAATAATACCATAACTTTTGCAAAAACTAGGAAAATGTTTCTGCATTAATGCTTATAGTTCAACTTCTACATACTTGTGTAAGGGTTGTAGTAGGCACAGAGCAGTAAGAGCTACTATAATAATAATAATAATATTGGATTCTTATATAGCGCACGTATCGACCTTGCAAGGTCCTCAAGGCGCTCCAACATTACCCGGCTATGCTAGGCTGCCGATTCGACGCTCACAGCATTTAAGGAATTTCTTCCTACCGGTACCCATTTAACACCTGGGTGGAGAGTGGCAAATGTAGATCAATATCTTGCCAAAGGACATGACCAACGCTCTTAGCTTGGCAAAGCACTCACCTTTGATGTTCTTCTCTAGGACATTGTCAATGACAGGATCGATGTACTCGTCCACGTCTTGGAAGAGGAAAGGGAAGCCGTACTTGATGGCCAGCTCAAGCTGCTTCAAGAAGTCTGGATCATTGAAAGTGCACACCTACAAAACACAAGGCCAATATTGCTGTTACAGTTGATGTCACTCTGAAGGACCACCTCTTAACATGCACAACTTTCTAGGTCTAAATGATTTAACACTAAATTTCAAGCTGAATGTGCATATGTGATATTGATGTATCATCAATAAGCCAGTACATGTATATCTTGTAAAGTTAGGTGATAACATTTCTCTGCTGTAGGTGCTCCAGAAATGCCCATCTTTACATTCAGCTTCCAGGGAGGATTCATTCAGAAATCGGAAAGGTTTCTATTAATTGCATACAGCATAATAGGAATAATCTTTCAAAAAATCAGAGAGGCATTAACATTTGTGTGGGAGGACGTACATGTATCAATTTTTTTCTTCTTCAGGGAGCCTCCCTGAAAATCAGAGAGGGTTAGCATCTCTGGTGCTTTAAGCGTGTGATTTTAGAAAGAGATCGTAGTTGGTCTCTGGGTCGTACCTTGAGATTGTTAGGCTCCTCTTTCTTCTTGATCCAGTTAAGAGCCTGCTGTTGAGGGTCGATACACAGAGGGAAGCGACTGGCTCTGGTGGTCAGGATACCATTCTGAATAGACAGCTCATCTGGAGGCAAGCCTTCCGATCCCCATCTAAGATAGAACGAACATACAAAGTAATATGTTAATGACTTTATTAAGGACCTCAGAGGATCATAGAGACTAATTCAAGTCTTAAATTATTGTGAGCACCATAACTGAAATCACCACAACAACCAAGTTTTGTTTTTTCCAGAGCATGCCTCTTTGTTGGATTTTTAACATTACCATCAACAAGAACAATGAATTATCCTCCTCCTCCTCCTCCTTTTCCTCACCCTTCCTCCTCGTCTTCAAGATCCCCATCATCCGAACATTGTTATAATAAGCATCATAATCATCACTAGGGCTATCATCATCACTGTCATAATCGTCCTCATAACTTTATCATCATCGTCATCATCGTCATTATTATCATCATCATCGTCATCGTTATCGTCTTCGTTATCATCATCATCACCACCACCACCACCACCACCACCACCACCACCACCATCACCATAATCATCATCATCACCATCATCATCATCATCACCATCATCATCATCACCATCATCATCATCATCATCATCACCATCATCATCATCACCATCATCATCATCCCCATCACCACCATCGTCCTCTTCCTCATGATTATATTGACTACCAATCACACCATTCAATATCATCATAATCATCAACATCATACATTCAACTTGTTTATATAGCACAAAATCCAATATTGCTCAATGCGCCTGCCATGAAAAATTAATGCTAACAGACAAGAAACAAAAATAGGAAAAAAACATACATTGATTTCATAATTTCTTGATCATCATCACACTGGTGCAACCACGAATATCCAGTCAATGAAATGGATTCAAAAGCATAGCTTTAATAGTGTAACCCTTACTTGCTGATCTCGACATCATCGGTCAGAAGGTTCTCTATTTTGAAGGGGTCACTGATGGGGATCTCCCTATCGCTGATGTCATCCTGCCAATCATGGTACACCATCTGATCACGGAAGTCCCAGGTGAAGGCACCCACGTAACTCAGGAAGGCGGAGGACACCAGGCAGTCACCGAGGAGACGGATGCGGCGCTGACGCAAGTCCTCCAGATCCTTGGTCCATCTAGAGTAATCAAGAATGATACCTTACTTATTTTAAACTTTCAAATTTAAATACTAAATATCATTAATACTCTGTATTCTGTCCTTGAAGTTCGTGAAGTTTGGTTCCTGAGAAGGATGCTAAGAGCTTCATGGACAGAAAGAGTTTCTAATAATGAGGTATTTGCCATGGCAGGAACAAGACGAAAGCTTCTGAATACATGTAATATAAGAGGTCGACAGCTGAGCTTCTTGGGTCTTGTTATACAAAAGAATAGTTTGGAAAATCTTGCACTGACTGGAAGAATCAAGAAGAGGAGGAGAAGGGGTAGAAGGAGGATTCTGTGGATGAGTAGCTTAAGGAGTGGGATTTCTGAAAGTGGAATTGACCTCGGGGAGAATGAGTTACTTCAAAGAATATGGGACAGAAATTTGTGGCACAGCTCTTCTTTGCCAAAAAAATGTTATGCAATATCGTAAAGTGGGTGGTTCAAAGGGCCTACATCTATGACACCATATTAGCAAATCCTCACAAGATAATTTTTTCCCTCTCTTTCTTAGAAGTTAATCAATAAATACAGAGGAGAGATTATAATGCTGGTTCAAAACCAGGGGAATGTTTCACAAAAACTAAGATCAACTTAAAGTTGGACTTAACTATGGCAGGCCTTTCATGCCACTGTTTGTTCTCACCATTTACTGGCATTGGTCTCTCAAGGGACATACAAATCATGGTCGCTTATGTACAGAATTTACATTTTTTAATTATTCATTATTGAAGGAAAAAATATTATTTAAAGATCATAATGGTGAGAGCAATCGGTGGCATGAATATCCTGCCACAATTCAAGACCAACTTAAGTTGATCTTAGTCTTTGTGAAACACCCCCCTGAAGTGAACAAATTCTCAAAAATGCCCACCTGACATTCTCGGAGCCGAGACCGGAGATGAGTTTATCAGCGGCGATAAGACGTCTCTCCATGATCTCAGCTTCTTCTTGAAGGGTCTTCTTCTCCGACATGGCGTTCTCGTACTTCTGGCCCAGGTCCTTGAGTTCCTGTTCCAAGGAGTTCACCTCGGCATTGATGCGGTCCAAGTCCCTCTTGGCCTGGAAGAATGTCTTCTCCAGTTTGGCCACCTAACAAGGAGGATGGGGGGGGGGGGAAGATTTGATACACAGTTTACTTTTCAATGAAACAGGTCAAATGGTTCAGGGTGTATTCTCTTCAACCCCTTATGTTTTGAGTAGAAAATGCTACCCAATTATGACTTGAACAATGGCTAGAAATATGTCACCGGACGGTGGATCACAAGGTCCGCGGTTCGATTCCTGCTACGGCACTAATGTCATTTGGAAAGACATTAATCTACATTTGCCACACTCGACCCAGGTGAGGTAAATGGGTACCTGGCAGGCATTAATTCCTTGAAATGCTAGAGCGTCATAACGGCAGCCATGCTAAAGCCGGGTTAATACTTTCCAAAGCTCTTTGGAAGCGCATAGAGACGTTATAATGTGATATGCGCTATACAAGAACCAAATATTATTATTATTACCTTTTCTCTTTTGGGTTTGATTTCTCTTGCTACGGAGCAATAACCAAGTACAGCAGTGACAAACTTGAAGAGACCTGCCCCAGCAAAGGAGACGCTCTTCATGTCTTCGTAGGTGGTGTCCAAGTCCTTTAAGAAGTTTCTCACAGTCTTCACCTGTTGAATAGCAATAATGTAAATAAAGTTGAATACATGATATTACATCAAGGTTGCACCTGTCGCACTATATAGAAATAAGGAAACTGAGGGGTCATAAATACCATCATTATCATCAACCACATCGTCATTATCATCATCATCAACATCGTCATCATCACCTTCATCATCATCAACATAAACATCAACATCAACATCAACATCATCATCATCATCATCATCATCATCATCAACTTCATCATCATCATCATCATCATCATCACCACCACCACCATCATCATCATCAACATCATCATCATCATCATCGCCATTCATTCACCATCATCATCATCATCTATTGAAATAAGAAAATGGAGGGGCTCATAAGTACTGGTGGTCAATGTCCTCATCATCTTCTTCCTCCGCCTCCTCCTCCACAACATCATCATGACCCTCAAATAATATATGAGGTGGACATAATAAATGTAAAGATAAGTAAACTAATTTGGAGGGCCCTCGGGAAGAACAGTATCAATATTGATGAGCCTACTGTACCCTGGGAAAACAAGATATTATATTATTATTGTCAGTATCATAATTTACAAAAGGCATCACGACTTTTAGATGATTTAATCACAGAATGTGGAACAACAGGATATGAAATGCTGAAACAGATGGCTCAACGATGAGGTACTTGGAGAGACACTTGATATAGAATTCTGATTGGGTCACTGAACCTGTCATAAACTGACAGGTCACTACTGAGGATCATGACTTCTGTTGGCAGTAAAGGATGAGAGCTAAACGTACCTGTGTCTGTGAGATACCATCTACATCCAGCTCCTGGAGTGACTTGAGGAAGTTGCCCTCGGCCATCATCCCCTTGGCTGATTTCCAGGAGACCTCTCGGATACCACGCAGCACCACGATGCACTCACACACCATCTGTACAGCCTTGGGAGGCTTGGCAAAAGCCCTGTTGATCGAGAAAGGGTGGAGAGCATGGATCATTTCGTAAAATACCTTTGAACGTATAAATCCCACCACACATGGTACAATCCAACTACATTCTGATTTGTGGATACTTTGGTATAGCATTAGATAATAATATTTAAACAAATAACATCATAATGATTAATAGTCATATGAACAAAGAAACAAAATAATTTAGGTATTGGAAGCAAACTTGTAGGAGAAAGCTAAATCGGTTCAGAATCGTGGCAATGTCTGAACAGGGCCCCGTCTTACAAGGAGTTGATATTAATCGCAACTTATTTGCGATCGATATCACTCACAACTAGGTACATAAGGGATATGGGACTGCAAACTTGCGATTGATTACAGGACTTACGATTGATTTGGATCGATCGCAACTCTTTATCAGACGGGGCTCTGGCTCTGGCAAAACTGCCCTACAAAGTGCCTTACAAACAAAAATGAAATAAAGAAACTGAAAAGTTGTTTGTGTAACCATTCTCTTACCTGATTTCTGTAACGGATGATTTATCCAGATCTGACAGAGCTTCTCTAGCCGCTGCTAGAGCAGGCATGGCTTCTGCCAATGATTCCTCAGCATCTTGCTGTAGATGTATAATAACAATAATATAATATTGCGATGCATACATTGTTCATTACTTTTGATTGACTGTGTAATGTAACAATGCTTATCAGTAAGTATTTTGCAGTAAAGTCGGCTTGCGAAAGTGATTGCTTAAATGTGATCTGAATACGAGTTAAAACATTTACTTAACTAGGCCAAATGCTAAGTAAAAGTTTTACTTAAACAAAGTATCCAATTGAGTACCCGCCATGGTTATTTTAAACATGACTTGTTCAGATACATGTAGTACAGATTTATGGTAATTTTAATGGAATGAAGAAGTTTGCTACTTGGCACTCGATAAAAACAGTGGTCAAAGTTTTCACACTTCAATCTGGAGAAATAATGGTATGGTTTTACGAGTACCAGCCAGAATCTGAAAAAATACAGTTGATATCTAAATTATTCATACCCTTATCAAGTTTAGTAATTATCTTAGTATGTGTAAAACTGATTTGTTCCAATTTACGCTTCTAGAAAATGGTACATATTAAAGCTTACATCTAAAAGTATTCAACAAAGACTCCAACTCAACTAGTACACCATCCAACTTACAAGGGGCAAGAATATTTTATCTGTTAACTGTACATGTCGTACCTTTTCTACTTTGATGACTACGCTCTGAACCTCAATTTCTTTTCCCTTGGACACGGCAAATGACTTCTTCTCGGTGGCCTGAGCGGTACGGGTCGTGATCTCCTCCAGAAGAACCTCACAGGCCTCGTTCTTCTCCTTCAGGACTACCTTCTGCACGGCCAGCTTCTCGTTGAGCTCGTTCAGCTGGACGCTGGCCTCGACGAGCTTGGCCATACCGCCCTCTAGACGCTTGCACTGTGGAAGGAGAAAGGTTAAAGGTCATGTATATGATTCATGGAGACATCGGGTCTACTTACCTGGATTTCCTTATCTTTATATGCCCATTACTCAGCCCCTATACATTTTCTACCAAAATCGTTTGGCACATGTCATTTATTTGTTTTGTTGGACTCTTTGAGAATTTATTTTCTATCATTACCAGAACTCAAGCATATCTTTAAAGTGACTCGGTAACATTGCTTCAAATTCTGAAACAAAATCCTGCTGCAATCATAATTTTGATTGCCTGTCTGATTATCAAGATATTTATGATAGGAAATTTCATTTTTGTGAAAACAGTTTTTTTATAACATTACAGTCTATCGGGGAAAATGAGTATGGTAAAACCAGTCACTCAAAGATTTTTTTTTTTTCTTTTAGGGCTTCAATATTCTGCCATATATCATAGCCACTGATAACACGTAAGGCCATGCATCTCAGATTTAACATTGTTAAACGATGCATTTAAAATCCTCCTGGCTCTCAGCAGACAATCACAGAAAAAGAGTGTTACCTGAGAGAGAATGTATTCATCCTTCTCATCCAGCAGCTTGAGGTATGTATTGATGAAGTCCAGGTAGTTCTTGGGCGTCACATAGTTATTCCTACGCAGCTTGAGAGCAAACTGCTTGCTGTAGTCACTCACAGACTGGTGCACAAACACGACATGGTCTACCACGCTGGTACGCTTGTCATCCGGAATGCTCTTCACCTGTACATGAGATGAGAGAAGATTGGTAAGGGGTCTGCTACAAAGAAGTTCAGTGGCTTCGTGAAATGTAGTGTTAGGTAAAGATGCATCCAGAATGCAAAAGGCATGATAGTTGTTGGTGATGCATTTAAAAGTGCGATCCAACGTTAAGAGGTGTATGACAATTTCTATATTGTGATACATACTAGCCCTAGATATCAATATCTAGGTTCGGTCCCTACGCAATGTAATTAAGATTTTCAACAATTTTGCCCTATCATATCCTTGTCCTTTTGTGCTATTACATTTTGCTAGGCTACTCAAAATATAATTATGCATACACAAATGAATGTAAAACATTTTTAAAATTTTGTATTGGAGATTAATTTAGATATTCTACATATAAAGTGTGTTGTAGGGAGGGTTGATTTCAATATTTTTAAATTTTTCCCCCGATGCTAGTACCAGGCTTACAGAACAATATGGCTCCTGTATCATACATGTTGTGCTGACAGAATTACTAAAAAAAGAAGATGATGCAAGAAACAAATCTTTGTAAGCAAGTGACGTCAACTATTGGATATGATAACATTTTCACATGCATTTCCGATGGGTTTCATCTAAAATCATCTCTGGCTCATTTGATACACAGTAGATTTTTGCTTCATATGGAGGTAATGTGGGCTTTGCCAAATTCAAATGTTATCAAGTAAATGAATGAAATATACATATACTGTAAAAGTAGAAATATTTGCGGTACATTAATTTTTCGGATTTCACGCTAAGATCGGCAAGCGCAAATTTTAGAACGCGAAAAAATATAAGCATGACTTCTTATGCATGTTTTGAACAGGATGAATTGTGTTTAAACACAAATTTAAGAACCAGTGAATATGTTTTGGGGTCGCTCAGCGCGAAAAAATTAATCACGTGAAAATAACGGCGTTACAATAACGTTTTATAAGTGCTACGATGTAAACAATCGTAGCGACTCTTTCTTACGACTTACATCTTCATGTCCGAGGAACACGGAGGCCACCGCTTCCAAGGCTTGCTTGGGCCAGGCCATGAACCAATCGATGCTGCAGTTATTGACGAGGCCGGGGAAGTTCCTGCAGCGGGTGCGGAGGGTGTCGCCCACGGGAGACATGGCCAGGACCACATGGAGGTTGTTGATGCTCTTGGTGATGAAGTACTGCCAGATGGCTTCTCGGATGGGTGGGTAGCCCTGTTTGGTGGCTTCGTCTCGCATCTGACCAAATAAAAATGCAGGAACAAGTGCATGGTGGGATTTTTCAGGCATGTCATCAGGGTCCTGTCTTACGAACAGTTGTGATTAAACCCAACTCATTTTCGATTGATATCGATCGCAACTATGCTTATGATAGTTGGTTGCTTATTACAGTTGGCCTCTGCATTTATCTTGATTATTTTTTACTTACCCCCATACTTTCAAGCTTTCAATTATGCATTTTATTTGTGTGTATTAAGTTGTCACTCTTTATGTAAATCAATTATATTATATACATGTACTATCATTGTTATTTGAATGTTTTATATTTGATTTATCAATAAATGCAGAAACATCTGCTAAAAAAGACTAAAAAAAAACAAACTATGCGCATAAGAGATAGGAGACTGCAATCTTGCGATTGATTGGAGGACGTGATTGAATCAGACTTAAAATACCAGTCCCAAATCTCATTATTTGTGCTTGGGGACTGACATTTCACATCACCGGTCAATAAGTGCATTTGTGGATTGAATTTTGGGTAACTCTATGGGCACTGACCACTAGACCAATTCATATCCATGTCAAATGTTCTGTCAAAATACTATACAATCTATATGGTTGTAGCACTTACACTTTCATAAGGCTTACAAAGAATGAAGATGAGATAGAAAGAGGAAAACAGTGGAAAGTGAGTATTAAAGGGAAACACAGTCGACAAAGACTACAGACACAAAGTCACTGCAATATCATTTTAACGACTATCATTCTGTGACTAATATTAAATGAAGCAATTAGCCTGAAGTCGAAAACACATTGGTATCACTTCATCATAAGGCTTACAAAACATTGCCATCATATTCAGCTAAATTTGTCACAAAACATTTTGTTGCAAATTATGAATGACACAATATCAAGTTACCATAAAGGTCACTCACAAATACCATTCTAGGCTAAATTTGCAAGGCTGCATTCCAATGTAAGTCTAACAAAAAAACGCTACATTATCACTTTACCAAAAGAATGTTTCATGTTTCCCAAAGAGATAAATGAAAGAGATAAATCAGTTCTGCATCTTGACTTACCTGTCCCACTATCGCTTCCTTCTCATCATCGGCATAGAGAGCTGGCACCATTCCTGAGGTCAACATGTTGTTGATTAGCTCAAGGAAACCTAGTGGACAAAAGTAATTCTTTTTTATTAGATATTAGGCCTAAAAAAAGAAAAATCTCCCTCTTTATGAATGTTTTAATATTTGTTTTCTCTAAAAAAACAGTAAAAAAAAAATTCTTCAAGATTTTTTGGGTCGGTCGCAAAGGGCAATACCACACCTTTTTTTTTTAGGCCTTATATTAATGTCTCTCTAGCTGTGCCTCTAGGGATAAGGAATTGCATAGCATGTTTGGTTCATCGTAGGTAGATTGAAATAAATATTCTTTTTGGAGAAATGGCAGTGCATGAGCATGGCAACAAACTCTGCTGTTCATGCTGGAATATTATGCAAGTCATTATAGTTAAATAGTCATGACAGTAGACTCGGGAGAAGGTTAGGTCTGATGTTTTGTTCACATTTATACATCACACACATCTCAATCATTACTCATAATGCAGTGAATTCACAATCCACAGCACCATCTAGCGACAACAGTGCCGAGTCCATTTCATGTATTGCATTATGGGAAAAAGTCATCAAAAAAGTCAGGTGTGGCATTATTATATACCCTAGCAGATAAGGGGATTCAATCAGACTTTTTGGTGTTGAAGGTTTGAAAAGCCTATCCGGGGTAAAATTTGGCACCGATTCCAAATTTGCCATACTCATAACACTTTGGTCATTTTTATCATTGTTAATTTGCTGCGCTGGATTGGTTGACCCGGGAGCTAAAAAATTGGCCTGTCGAGGGCTTGCCCGTGGGGGCGCTGTATTAATGGTAAATCCACCCTATTCAACCTTTCTTCACTCCGTTCACTGGTTGTATTTCTACAAAAACATGAAATGGTGAAGGAGGATGACCATCGTGAACCTACCTTCTTGTGCGACATGAGCGTCGGTGAAGAGGAAAGAGACCTTCTTGTTCTCAATGCCCAGTTTGTTGTAGAGGATCTTCAGATCTTCCCTGAAGTTGTTCTCGTCGTAGCCCCTGCTCAGGGTGATCTCAAAGACCTCACAGCCGGCCGTGAAGGAGGCCAGCCTGGTCAAACTCTGCTTACCACTCCCACCTGCGGACAAACAACAAAGGTCAAAGATAGCCATGAAGTTCATCATTTTTATGATTGCTTTTCCCTAAAATTGATACCTGTTTTCTATATCATGTTTTGGTGATTACCAGAGGGGGATGTTGTTTGCAGGCACACACCTTTGTCAGTCATTGAGTGTAACAGTGTCAGAAAAATAACACTACAATAGGCTCTGTTCTATAGCAGCTTGACACAGCCGAAAGCTGGCAGATCTAGGCTCTGCTCAAACCTTTAGGATTTGTGGTAAAGTGTCAAATTAGAGTATGTGCTTGCAGACTAAGGGGGATGTTATGTGTACATCTATATTTTGCAGGTAGTATATGGCTAAGTGGATGGAGCAATACTCTTAAGGCCACTGTACATCTTACGATCCGTCTGGTCTGTGGGAATGAGTTAAATGTAGGGGAGATAATAAGTCACAGCTCTAGTCAGTTTGTGAGTGGCAAACCAGTCAGAGACAAACCACAAAGTTAGTTCTGAGGATTCGTGCAAAATGAGCTCAATCCAACTTCCAGCCAATCAGACAACAGTATTGATATGATTTCATTCTTGCAAATATGGCTCAATTCCTAAGATAGGACTTCGGGATTTATGAAGGTTCCCTGATGCTATTCAAGAGCAAATGACAGAGAGAGAGCATGAAAGAGAGAGAGAGAGAGAGAGAGAGAGAGAGAGAGAGAGATAGTGAGGGGGAGAGAGAGAGATAGTGAGGGGGAGAGAGAGAGAGAGGGGGAAGAAAGAGAGTGAGAGAGAGAGAGATACAGAGAGACAGCGAGAAAGAGAGAGTGAGAAAGATAGTGAGAGGGAGAGAGAGAGAGAGAGAGAGAGGGAAGAGAGGGAAGAAAGAGAGAGACAGAGAGAGGCAGAGAGAAAGAGAGAGTGAGAAAGATAGTGAGAGGGAGAAAGATGGGGATAAAGAGAGAGAGAGAGAGAGAGAGAGAGAGGAGGAAAGTCTAACTTACCGACTCCCACAAGAAGGGCATGACCTTGATCCATCCTGATGACCCTGTGAACCCGGGTCAAATGATCAAGGGCATCGTCAAAGAGAACCAGGTTCATTGGGGTATTACTGTCATTGTACTCTTCAAGAATCTACATTCAATGAGCAAAGAGATACAAGAAAGTGTGATTAATTCTTAGATACCATACGGTTCAGTATGGACGATGTCAAATTTTCATACTGAAATTTCCAATTGAAACATGTTGATGGAAATTTAGAAACTACACTGCAAAAGTGACAAAATTCCAATTATCTTTCATAATACAGCCAAGAAGAATGCAAATCGTCAGCTTAGAACCGGAAAGGCATTTTTTAAGTTTACTGCTATTGTTTGTTTGTTCTGCTCTTGACCAAACTTTATAATATGATGGACCATAATGTGAACAGAAAAAAAAAGAAGTAAAATCAACAACATAACAAACAAACACTCAAACAAACAAATACATAAATAAATAGATACATACATAAATAAGAAAGACAATAGTTTACCTCTTGGAAGAGTGCTTTAGCTGCATCGTAATCCTGTATATCTTCATAGAGCCTGGCTTCTCCTCCATCTAGAGCTGTACGATAGTCGCCATACAGGAGAGGCTCTCGCATGGCGTTCTCATTATGCTCACGGAAATGCTCGTCTATAATATTCTTGATCATAGCCTGATGGAGATTTTAGAAATTTTAGAAGATAATTTTTTTCTTCAAATGGTAATATTTCATATAGAAAAGACTTTGCACCTGTGATGTAGTAATAACAATAATAATAGTGAACATTTACAATGCACCATGTCTGTCAAAATTGACACTCCTGGCACAGTTGTGTGAAAATTGTATAAGTAGGAGGCTCATGCTAAACATTTTCTGTATGCTCACAGAAAAGCTAGTCTAGAATATTTGAAATCATTCCCTGGTGGAAAAATTATAGATATGATGATCAGTTTAGAGGACTAATATTTCAGACGAAATTACTTTAAAAGGAAAAACATGTGCCTCTTGGAGGAATTAATAATGACTTCAGAGAAAAACTTGAAAAATGAATCATAAAAGTTTAAACATGCATTCTTGTTTAGTTTGATGATGTTTTGCCAGGCTCAGCAACTCACCTATTACATGATAAACAGGCCAGGGGAGTGTTTCACAAAGACTAAGATCGACTTTAAGTTGGACTTAACTATGGCAAGCTGTTCATGCCACTGGTTGCTCAAACCATTATGATCTTTAGATACTACATTTCCTTCAATAATGAAGTATCAAAAATATAAATTCTGTAGATATGTAACGATGATTTGTATGTCCTTTGAGAGACCAATGCCAGTAAATGGTGATAGCAAACAGTGGCATGACCAGCCTGCCATAGTTAAGTCGAACTTAAAGTCGATCTTAGTCTTTGTGAAACATCCCCTGGATTTACTGTGAGCTGGTTTTGCTCAAAATATTTCATTACCAGGGCTCAAGATAAGGTTTGACTGCCAGTAGACTTTGCTACTGAAACACATTTGTAATGTTGGCGAGAAATCGCATCATGCATCTCAGACACTGACAATGACGGACATGAAACTGTCAAGACATACCTGCACAAGATCTTTATCGTGTTGGTTGATGAGGCGATCGTGGAACACCCTGAGGCATTCGTTGCGCCACACTCGGATGCAACTCTTGGGGGTGGAGAAACGATCGGGGGTCGTCAGCAGCATGCCTTGACTGACCCTTGACAGGTCACGAAGGTTGAAGATGTAATGGAACTTTGATGGGGTAGGGGGTAGGTCCATTACAATAACCTGGTGTGGAAAGGAGAAAAAGATACAAAATTAATCTGTTTATGGGAAAACAAACCAATATGACTTTTCTGAATCCTTGTTACAAAGACATGATTGTTACATGATTTGAAATTTAAGAAAAAACTGTAAGGAGAACAATGCAGCAGCAAGTCAATAAAAAATAGATAAATCTAAATTTTAAGTCAGATTTCTTGTATTTGATTTTTTTTTTTTTAAATGTTAGATTAGTAAACTTACTGATTTTCTTTCTTTAAAAAAACACTAATATTTGAAGTTTTGAAAAAAAAATTGTAAGGAGAAAAACTCAACAGCGAGCCAATAACAACTTTATTTTACCTTGTAGAGGTCAAGCGTGGCTTGGGTGATCTTGGGGGTCAGTTTCTGGATGCTATCTTCGAAGGGTTGAAAATGGCCGGCCAAGATGGAGGAATAGATGTGATTGAGGGTCTCCTCCGAGGGGAAAGTGATGTTGAAGGAGCAGAAGAGAGAGATGAAACGAGGATCCACCTCATTCCTACCTCCTCCAGCCTGGTGGATAGATGGGAAAGATAAAAAAGATGATGATAGAAGATGAGGAGGGGGCGCGATAGCTCAGTCGGTAGAGTAGTGGTCTCGTAGTGCCCTTTGGTAAGGCATTAATCCTCATTACCAGGTCCGTCCCTCGGAGAGGACCTAAAGCCATCGGCCCTCTGGTTGCTTACTAAAAAGCATTAATGCTTTCTAAGCAGTCAGGTAAAATAAACACCACTGTCTATCGAGACAGCTGAGTCATATTTCCGACAGACAATATAAAAACCAGCTCCTAGAAGAAGAAAAAGTCTGGTTAACTGAGCTACATAAAAGCTGACTATAACTATACTTACTCTGTTTACATTGATGTATATTTCATATGTATTGTAATTTATAGGTTTATTTGTAATTTCTTGTTTTGTTTAAATGTAATTGTTTATCATTATATTTTGTTTGTTATGGCGCTTACAGACTTCGGTGGTAAGCGCTTTATAAGCATTGTTTTTATCATTATTATTATTATTATTAATCATTCATCCTTCTCACCTTGCCCATAGAGGCCAAGAAGCCAATGTCCCTGATGTACTTCAGAATCAGATCCTTCCCTCTGTCGTACATACCCCCCTTCTCCAGCAGCAGCTTCAGCAGAGCGATGGGCTGCTGCGTGCCATACTCGTCCACCTGCGGCATGTTCATATCGTCCATGAAGACGAGGAGGCGTCGGCCGGGCGGCGGCCCGTACGTGTCCTTGGTGCGCTTCTCAACGTTGGCCTCCAGGTTACGCTGGACGTCCATGGAGGTGGTCCGAGACGAGAAGTTGATGGACAGGATCAACTGCGGAGGAGAGGGGTGTGGAGATTGGTAAAGAAGTGTTACTTTCAGAGAGTCTCTGTAGATCAAGAAATACCTACTCAAGTGTCCTTGTCACTTCGTGATAGTTGTTTGTCTGTTGTTGATTCTTTTTCAATGTAATGAAATCTAGCAACATCCATGCATGTAAAAATGGCTAACATTCTTAAATATGTAGGAACCTATTTCTGTCAACAATAAAAAATGATAATATAAAATGTCTTCCGTATTACTTAGCTCTATCACAGTAATATATCAATCACATATGATACCAAATTTTACATTATTTCCATCATCCACTAAATCATCATAACTACATACGTGTAACTGTCTTTTTGAAATACATAATGCCATATGCAACTGCAAAATATAATAAATCACTCTCCTTGAATTAGGTATAGTTAATGGATGTAGAGATATCTGCACAGTAATGGTTATGTTTATACATATGTAAAACTGTAATAATGCATTTTTTAAGTCTCTTATAATAGTCTTTTAATGTCAAGTTTGCTTTACTTTAAAACGAACAAAGTGGAGTATTTTTTCTTTTTGTATTTAATATCAATTCATTTATTCATTCATTTTCTTCTACATGAATATGACAGAATTACTGTAAAATTAGAAATATAGGTGTGGTTTAGATTTCTTTATGATGAAGTTAAAAATGGGAAAAGAATCAATGAAAATGGATATATCTTTGACTAGAACAGTCGTTGTCATTGATTTGAGTAGAGTAGTTGTCAGTTTGAATAGGTACATGAAATAACAGATTCGTGCAAGTATATATATGTATAAACATTTAAATAAACAGAGAAATCTACTACAAAGGAACTACTAGAACGGTTAGATACTACTAGGCTAAAAAGGCTTTATGTAAGCCACATCTAGTGTTTCAAAGAAATTGTAAAGAATAATCTGATAGAGCAACACATAAGTAAGCAGGTATAAACAATGTGAAGCTAACATAAAATAAAATTATGTTCTAATTATGTATAATTTGCATACATGTACATGCTTGCATTTCCTTTGCTTGTTTTAGTTCCCAATATGGTACAATCATTGCATCCTAACATGAAATGATTGTTCTCTCAAACTATCTGGCCCGCATTCACAAGGGAGGTATGTTGACAGTTTCAGACCATGGGTCTGAAACGCGTCAAAACGCGTCATATGACGCACATAAACCTAGGTTTGTTGACAAACCTCCTTTGTGAATTCGGGCCTCTGTGTTTCCAAAAAAAAAAGAAAGAAGGAAGTTGTTTCTAACATGCACAATAGATCCATGTTCACTACCAGCTACAAATAAGATCTAAGTCTAAGTATACCGCCCAGATAACAGTAATTGAACAAGTTCATGGTGCGATCAAGTTATTAATATAGCCTTGATATACAACACTAAACAAAACTGACTTGCATATAAAAAGTACACGTATTACATACTATGCTATCTACATTTGTACATACATTCGTAACTATATAATATATAATATGACAAATAGTTCAATTGATATATATCGAACATGGTTATGAATGCAATGACATTCAATTCAGCAGTGCAGGTACTATATTGCCAGCATTTTCTAATTACTCACTGTCTTCAACTTAAGACGACCATAACTCTCAGTTTGTGGCTCTTTCTACAAAGTAACCAACATCATTTGAAATAAAGAGGAAAGGAAGCCAGAGATGATTAGTAGAAATACAAAGATGATAGAAAGCATCCCTCGTCAAGAAATTTGGAATCCAGAATATAGAAGCAAACCATTTATTCATAAACGAGAGTAAAAGAAGAATTTAGTGTTAGGAATATGACGAGACAAGAAATTATTAGGTTTATTTGTAAACATAATTTCAACGATCTCCATTGTGTGAACAGAGAAAACATCATCAAATAAGTACAGTGGGAAGAGAAATAGGATATATCATGAAATATAAAAAGAATCTTAATGTTACAGACAAAAAATAAAAGTTAGAAGTTGTTACTCCTTTAATAATTGCAGGACTTATTTTTTTCTTTCTAAATAGCATAAAGCATGATTTTTGGAAATAAAATTAGAACATAGTAATCTCTGGCTATACTAGTTGATCTCCTAGTGAATTGAACACACAGTTATAAGCTCTCTTTAAACGAGAAGTAATTGATTAAATTTTATTGTAGAATAAGATCAAGACCAGGGACCCGTTTCACAAAGCCTTTTTTCAATGACAAATGACAAACATCAGTGACAAATCTGCTGATGACCAATCAGAAGCAAGGATTTCAGTAGCTTATAACAAAGACTGTCATTTGTCACTGATGACAAGTTTTGTGAAACAGGGCCCAGGGTTTAAACACAAATAAGAATCCTTCCTATAAAATAGGAATGGTTGGCTGCTACAAGAAAGACTTGTTAACTTACATGGCTGTCCTGGTCCAGATTCCGAAGGAAGTCTTGGATGGTAGCGGTCTTAGAGGTACCGGTGTCACCGACAAACAAGACTGGTTGCTTGACGGACAGCATCTGCTCCAAGACCCAGGTGTTACGCACAGTGTCGACAGTGGGCACAAGGATCTCGTTGAAACGCTTCTCAGGGTCGTGGACGTACTTGGGAACGACTCTGTCCCATGGAATCCACTGTTTGGGGGAAACATGGAGAGAATATATACACGCTGTTAAAACCAACAGTCAATTGACATGTAAATCTCGTTCTTGTTAAGCGAGACTCAACACTATTAATAGGGATCCAGTGCTCACGAGAGTCAAATTTAAAGTCTGGACAGCAAGAATATTGAAGTCTAAAAGAGGGCCCATGAGTATAACCTTTACAGTTTCAATATAGACCCCTGTGAAATAAGTTTGGAGCCCTGTGTAAAGTCCCATGAGGTCAACTGTAAAATTGAGAGCTATGGCAAATGAAACTTCTGAGGGGGCATTCGTCCTATCAAATGCCATTTCAAAGGGACATCTCAGAACTTGGCTTTAGTCATATCAAATCAAAGATCAAACCTAATCATCTTAAACACAATCATGAAATCATTACAATCCTCATAACAAGGTGCATGTGATAATTAAACTCGTGTTTACATGGACAGTTGAACAAAAGGGAAGTAGGTCATAAGAACTCCATGTGGTATTGTCAAGGTCAAACTCCTGTTTCCACTTTGTAAGACTTTTACATTCCTTTATCTTATGCTTCAATGAATAAGAACGGTTGATATGTGCACAACCCTTTTCACTTTTGATATGAAAAACAATGCTTCGGGGATGATACATGAAGGTTCAATGACCTTTTGTGTGACATTTTTTATTAAAACCAAATTGAAACTAAGTATTGACCCATTGTGCAAAGGAGCAAGACGGTTCCTGTATTAAAGCCTAGGGGAATGACAGAACCCAGTAGTCAAAACGTTACAGGCAAACAACTTGTTAGAAAAATGCCAAAAATATTAATTCTCTAACCTTATTCGTCTGCTTGTCAAAGAAGTATTGATAGACTGTCTCCAAAACACCGGGTAACTCTCCCGGTCCTGCGTCCACGCTCTCATCGGAGATACTTGGCATGGAAGCGATGTTCTTGATGTAGCTGTCAAACTTGAGACGCCCGTCCTCCACCAGGGCGGCACCAAGGGACCAGTACAAGGCCTCCAGGAAGTAACATTCCAGGACGTCCGACTCACCCAGTTCCTTGATCAGGAGGGCATCAAGCATCCTGCTCAGTTGGTTCACCTGTAGAAAGAATAATAATAATAATAATAATAATATTTGGTTATTGTATATCACATTATTCAATGTCCAAAGACCTTTGGTAATCATTACCCTAGCTTTAGCTCCGGCAGCCGCAATCAGCACACGGAACATTTCAAGAAATAATCCTACCGCGTACCCATTTACCTCACCTGGGTCGAGTGTGGCAAATGTAGATTAATATCTTGCAAAGGACTTTGCTGCCGCGACGGACCTTGTGATCCACAGTCCGGTTACATATCTACTCGGCCACGACACCTCTACTTGTCAATGATAATGACCCTCTGCTTGACTCAAGAAATAGGATTTTACACTCAGGCAATGTTGTCCAAGGGTAATGGACTGAGATGTATATTTGCTATCGTGTTATTAATCAATAATCTATCAATTCATGGTGATAGACACCGGGACAGACCAGCCAAGAAAAGTGTAAAGGCTGATTATGCTAGATGTCCAGGATCCCTCACAGAAGCGACCTGGGGGGTGTTCCACAAAGATCCCACGTCAAACTTAACTCTAAGTTGGACTTAACATTTATGGAAAGCCGTTAGCATCATTGAAAATATTTTGTAAAAAATTATTTTAAAAGGCATAAATTGTTGAATCTAATCAATCATATTTTCTATTATCTTAGGAAATTTCATGTTCTTGATATGGAATTTATGAAAAGTCTAAAATACTTGAATTTTGCTTTTGAATGTATTTCATTATAAGGCTACAAATGGCTCTCCATAATTTTTAAGTCCGACTTAGAGATAAGTTCAACTTAGGATCTTTGTGAAACACCCCCCAGATCGTCACAAGATAGGGGGAAGATCTGGCTTGAGGTCATGAAGCAGAAGCCATCACACATCTCCCAGATGGTGTGGAAGGCTTAGGTCAAGGTAGGTCAAGGTAGGTCAAGGTTAATCAATAAATTATCTAGTCTTGTTATATATCCAAAGTACTTTGGAAGCCTAAATGGATGTTATATCATGTGATATGCCCAATACCAAAAAAATACCATTACTGTTATCACTACTGCTTAGTACAGCTGGAGAGTGTTTCACAAAGACTAAGATGGACTTTAAGTTGGACTTAACTATGGCAGGCTGTTCATGCCACTGTTTGCTCTCACCATTTACTGGTATTGGTCTCTCAAGGGACGAACAAATCGTGGTCACAAATCAAATCTACATTTTTTGAGAGTTCATTAAGGAAAAATATTATCTAAAGATCATAATTGAGAGACCAACCAGTGGCATGAATGGCCTGCCATAGTTAAGTCCAACTTAAAGTCGATCTTAGTCTATGTGAAACACTCCGCCGGAAGATGCTTGACTTACCATATTGAGAGCAGTGAGAGGAACGATCATCTGCAGCTTATCGCCTTGCTTGCCATCGATGACACCTTCCATTATCATCTCCAGACAGCCGGGGACGTACTTGTCAAACAGCCTCGTCAGGTCTGTCTGCTCAGCCTTGTTGGTGCGACCACCGACCCAGCGCTGCCAGTACGGATGGTAGCCAAGGTTCTTGGGATCCACGTACACCATACCACAGCGGGAGACGGTGGCCGGTGAAGCGTACTGGAGATCCGACACCTGAAGGAGGGGTATCAAAATGGTAAATACAGTCAAACCTGCTTTAGCGACCACCTGTATAGAAAGACCACTTGTCTACAAAGACCCCTTTTTTGTTTCCCTTGAAAATGGTTACTCATTAAAACTGTAATAAAGGAACCTGTACATGAAGACCACCCATTTGTAAAGACCACTTTTCTTGTCTCCCTTGAGTGGTCTTTATAGACAGGTTTCACTGTAGTATGATTTTTGTTAACCCCTTGTCTACAATAGTAAAGTGGGTGGTTTCCTTATTAATCAATAAATAGAGAATACCAACTGGTTCACTCTTAATTCAGTTCCAGTCTTCCAATGCCTCTGTTTCCTTCATTTGCATCACCACTCAAAAACATCTTTATTAATTCTTTCCCATCTTTCTTTAGCTTATGAATCTTAACATTTCTCTTGCATAGCTCCTATGGCCATATCTCATAGCACGAGAAAGATCTGTGATTATGCGCATAATACGAAAGCATTACCCGAAATACCATCTGAAGTACCATGATCATCAGTATTTTGATCGTCAGTATTTTGATCATCATACACTATCATTTGTTTCTAGGCCACCATACATGTTCCTAAGCATCTTGATTATCGAGCATAAAATCAATGTCTGCATTCAATCCTTTTGTACCAAAGCAACGGCATTTGATACATTGTACATAGGAAGAGTGAATGTTAAAACTGTAAAAAGAAATAGATATGGTATGAAAATGCTGGCTTTCAGCTTTAAGGGAGATGTGAGCTTGTCTAGCGGCACGACTTGGTCAGCACTCTGTCTTGGCCTACAAACTGACTCAACCGACCCCAGTTTGAAACTGAGTCACGTCTTTCGGATGGTGACGTTAAAGGTCGGTCCCCAGACGTAAATAATCATATCTGATTGATATGCGTCTGTTAAGACCCAATCACACACACACACACAAGACTAGCCTCGAAGAGCAGAGCGCAGTGCTTCTGAAGACGGATCCTCTCTCCATTAGCCAGGGTCAGAAGCCTGTTGTCGTCCATCACTGAGTTCATGTTCTCCACCCACAGGGCGTCGACGTCACCATCGAAGAGGATGTACTTGCGATCGGTCTTGTCCGTGGGTCTGTTGATCTCTCGGAAGATGTTTGAGAGGAGACCGTCGGTCCAGTCACGGGTGATAGGGTCCAGGATGCCATAGAGCTCGATGACACTCATTGCTTTGGGGTTCATCACAAAGAGCTTGGTATGAATTCCTAGCCTGCAAAGTGAAAGAATAAAGTGATTGGTTTTCTAGTCTCTAGTTTAAAAAAAATAAATTCCATTCATGAGTTTATTACTTCATACATACATCTTGATATAGATTTCTAGTGCATACATGTTATATGGCACAAAGACCACAATACTGGACAGAGATCCTAACAATTAGTTCTGTCAATGAATCCTATCTATGATCCAAATGAATATGAGAACCTACTTACTTGGTCTGAGACTGGCAGAGTGTGTTGATGACCACTGTCTTGCCGCCTCCTGTAGGTCCTACTACCATGGTGGTGTGACGGGTCAACATGGTCTCATACATCTGGACTACCTTATCAACCTAGGTGGTGGATCGGATCAATAGGAGAGAACTTCAAAGATAAGAATGATGCTTAGACAGTTGATGGGTATTCAAGTCTTACATTCCCAGCAGTGCAATTCTGACACAAATATTTTTGTTGACCACTATCAAAGTACATGTTGCATTCACAAAATAGCAATGAAGATACATGGTATTATATGTACTTCTCTTTTTCATTCTCTACTTATCTCATCATCTGTTACGAAAATCATTGGTTCAGACTAAAAAAATAATCCATCTCTTACATTTTCAAATTGATTTTTAAAACTTTGTTGTTGTTTTTTGTTGTTGTAATGGCAATCAGACAAGAACTGACTATAATCACCACCGCCTTTCATTTTAATATCAATTTCCTTCTTTTTCTTTTTCTCTCTTTTAAAAAATATATAATGTGGATGAGGGTATAGCAAATTATAGGCTTCTCTCTTTTTTCTTCTCCCTTTCATAATCCTTTGAACCTTCCTTCTTTCATACCTGGTGTTCTAGGAGAACGTAGTTGTTCTCCTCAAGGGCCTGCTCTACGGCATCGTTGAAGTTGGGATACCTGACACGAGGACAGTCCAGACCAGGGAAGAGATCGGAGATGAGACCCAAGAAGAGAGGCACATCCTCAAAGACAAACTTGGGCAGGTTCATGTCACGGAGTGCTCTCATCAGCACAACATCCTGAGAGCGTAAAAAGAGAGAGAGGAATGAAAGCAGGGTTAAAGGGATTGTAGCTTGGCAAATACTGGTTAACGCCATCTACGTCTTCTATTGGACAACTGCACATAAACGAATGGACTTGATTAACAATAGTCAGCGACTTGATCTCTACATAGTCAGCGCTTGCCAAACAGACCAAAGTTTTCCTCATGCTTCGGTTTCGCATATGTTGCAGGCACGTGATTGCTGGGATTGCGTCGTCCGTAGTTGTATTATACCTGATTGGCCCCCGAGTCAGGCCACGGGAAAGACACATAGTCTCGTCAGGCTAAACACTCCCTTTAACACCCCACAGACTTCATTTGACAATTACTTGAACTTGTTTTCTTCAATGCAACTAGTAAACACGAATCAATGTAAGCAACGACACATCCCGTATTAGGCGGAGTTGGCCTTCACTACCTATTTCAGAAAAAAAATTCAGGAAAATTTTGGATACATATTGCAATATTACAAGGAGTCTACAGCATGCAGGGCTGCTAGAAGTATGCTTCATCCACTATCCCAGTGTTTATAAATTTATGGAAACACTGCTGATAAGAGTTCAAAATGGCAATTGCATTTCTGATGAATGATCCAAGATTTAAACTCGGCATTTCTTACAATTTAAAAGATTTATTTGGAGTATTGAATATTGTTAATTGTATCTTTAGTACAGACATACAGACACATTGTTTTAGAAAAATTATCAGTGTTACGATCACTGCATAAAAAGCTGTGCAGTAGCACCACTGACACATTCAATCAATAAATCGATAAATAGAATAGTGAATAATTATTTTTTTAAAGTCAGGTTTACCTCTGGCAATTCTGCAGAGCCTCTTTTGAGTTCACCAGCCATGACAAGCACAGACTTGAGAGCTCTCAAACCAAAGTCATAATGGTACTGCTTAGACAGCTGCTCCTTGGCTAGTTTGTAGAGCACAGTCATCTTCTTTGCCAGCACCTGTGAGATGAAAGGACAAGAAAAAGAATTGTCTAAACTGCCAAGAACACTTGAAACTATGCCTCAAAATGTTCATACTTCAACAGATGGGGAAATATTGAGGGTTTATCGGAGGAGCCTGTACTTTTCACAGAAGAATGAAGGCAAATACATGTGGTGTATTAACACCACCATCATTATCATCATCATCATATTATCATCATCATCATCATCATCATCATCATCATCATCATCACTCATCATTATCACTCATCATCATCATCATCATCACTCATCATTATCATCATCATCATCATCATCATCATCATCATCATCATATCATCATCATCATCATCATCATCATCATCATCATCATATCACCACCACCACCACCACCACCACCACCACCACCACCACCACCACACACCACCACCACCACCACCACCACCACCACCACCACCACCACCACCACCACCACCACCACCACCACCACCACCACCACCACCACCACCACCACCACCACCACCACCACCACCACCACCACCACCACCACCACCACCACACCACCACCACCACCACCACCACCACCACCACCACCACCACCACCACCACCACCACCACCACCACCACCACCACCACCACCACCACCACCACCACCACCACCACCACCACCACCACCACCACCACCACCACCACCACCACCACCACCACCACCACCACCACCACCACCACCACCACCACCACCATCACCATCATCATCATCATCATCACAAGGCATATATAAATGATTTGCCTACAGGCTATTGGTCAGGGACCTGTTTCACAAAGCCTTTTTTCAATGACAAATGACAAAAATCAGTGACAAATCTGCTGATATTACCAATCAGAAACAAGGATTTCACTAGCTTATAACAAAAAGCGTCATTTTTTACTGATAACAAGTTTTGTGAAATGGGGCCCATAACTAAAATCATGCAAGACTACAAGCATTTACCCTGTAACAAGAAATGAATTTTGGATTATTTCAAATGTGTAACAAGATTACGTAGACTCAACTAAAATCTTCCATATCTACTATATCTGCGTCATTCTGTGATTCTTTATCACTAAGTGGGTAATTAATTAAGTTGTTAATGCCTTATAATCCTCCCAGACGATTTAGATTATCTGATTCTCAATTGCTTGCTGTTCCGAAAACTAAGAGAGGGATCGGTCTTTTGCACACGCTGGACTTCACCTACGGAATCAATTGCCACAACATATTTGTTATATTTCAAGTGTAGATTGCTTTAAACATGCCCTCAAAACTCATTTGTTCAAAGTGGCTTTCCAGTAGATTTAGATTTACTTTCACAATGCTGTTGTTCATTTTTGGGTACTTTTAACTTTTCTTCTCCATGCGCCTCGAACACATTAGTCATGTGGAGTTGGCACATTACAAATACTCTATATTATTATTATAACAGACAATCTCTTCCATGCTTTATATTTTTCCTCTTTTTCCCTTTATGTTTCAAGAAACAGGTCTTGACGTATTAAAGAGAATGGTGAGCTTACCTTTGCGAAGAGGAAACCTTCAGAGAACAACATGATCTCACAGATCTGCTGTAGATCAGGCACGATGACAACCACCGGTCTGAAGAGGGCCTTCACACTCTCAGGAAGCTCGGTACGACCGGCGTACCCAGGGTTCATGGTGATGAAGATACCCATACGGTTGTCCATTGCAATCTCCATGCCCTCAAACTGTACAAAGAAAACAGTTGTGTGTTGTTTTAAGGCCTAGAGAATTTTGCTTTAACAGGGAAAATTGTGGGAAGGAGGAGTAGGGGAAGAGAGAGGATACTTTGGATGGACAGTCTGCAGATATTGTTAAAAGAAAGAGGAGCGAAAGAGCTGGGAGTGGTGCTAATAGAGAAGGCTAGGAGCAGAGGGTTGTGGAACAGCATGATTGCCAAAGTCAATCGATCTGGCACTTAGAGAGAGAGAGAGTTGTAATTCAGTTATCATTACAGGGGAAGGGGGAGATAAGCTGTAATCCAATGTCTATTTTTATTGTATCACTGACAATAATTTACCGGATTAACTTTAGTTTAAAACATTTACCATTTTTATTTATACTCTGTATTTTATCAAACCAAACTACCTGGTCCCCATTACTGGATCAAAATGTTATCTCACATGTTATCTTGCTTTCTAAAACTTTATACTTAATGATTGAAAAAAGAATATATCAGTTTTGCGGTTGTCAATGTTTTTGATACCATATCACAGAAGAATATAAATCATGATTCTTAACTTAAAGCCCCACTGTACTAATTGCAGCTACTTGCTCCCTCTATATAAAAAGAATGCCTAAGCGATGCCCGTTGGTCCCCCATGATCCTCTTTTTCTTATGGTAATTGAGAGCTGAGTTGATGTGATAACCACCTGTCAGTGACCTTGCTGGTCGGTCTAATCCCTCCTGGCCAAACTAGTACAGACAGGCTTTAAGAGACTATTTTAAATACCCCCCCCCCCCCTCCTCTCTGTGTCTCTCTCACTAAATATTTCTTACCTGGAATCTCTTGAGGTTATGGATGAGAGCGTTCCTAATGGTCTGAATCTGAGATGAGATGACAGACAGTACGGAGACGTCGATACGGTTGAACTCGTCAAAGCAACCCCAAGCACCACACTGTGCCAGACCGGAGAAAATCTTGCCAACAGCCTGCAAATAAATAAAAAGTCTTTTCAATTATTCTGGCATTCATATAGGAGTATCAAATTACTGATCTATGATTTGATTCATGCAGGAAAATAACTAGGATAGAAAATGAGAACAAATAAGCAAGGATATGATTTCTTTATCAAAATATCAACACATGACAAAATTAATTGTACACAGCACACAGAAGCTACGTACAAATCTAAGAGCTTTATGAATTTAGACAATTGTATATGCTCTGGAGACTGACAATTGCTTTGAGGGCCAATTTCTAACTCCAGGCCTAAAACAAAGCCAAGATCAAACTTTGCCAGAGAAAATGTCAGATAAACAACAAAACACACTTTCAACAAAACATAGATTTGTGAATTTATAATGACAACACTGAACTATTAAAGACTGACAATTGCTTTTAGGGCCAATTTCTAACTCCAGGCCTAAAACAAAGCCAAGATCAAACTTTGCCAGAGAAAATGTCAGATAAACAACAAAAGACACTTTCAACAAAACATAGATTTGTGACAACACTGAACTATTAAAAATAAAGTTTTCACAGGTCATGATATCCAAACAGAACTAGACTTACATACAGGAAAGAGATTTTAGGAAGGCTTTTAATGTGAGGTCCTCTATCCATTCCATTTTATTTGCATGAAACAAGACCATTGGAACTTGGCTAACATTAAACTGTTCTTCAGTTCTATGGGTCAACTTTGAAATCTATAACTTTGATTTATAAAGCTTGTCTTCAATTGGAGCTGGACACAAGAATATTCTCCATGTTCAAAATGCTAAATATACCTGTCGTCATCAGCTCAAGTTTGCCAAATAACCCGATATTTTCAGACTCAGGATATAATCTCGAAGCTCAAAATTGCGTCTTCACCAGACCAATACGCTCATCACAAACTAGCTCGGACTGGCACAAATTAGCTTGCTATTTCCCAAATAGCAGGATATTTTGAAAACAAGACTTGGGAAATTTTCTCGACCAAATATCCTGCTAATTGCAACTGCAGGCTGATGAAGACACAAATTAACTGGTTAATTTGCGATCAGGATAATTAAAATAGCGGGTTATTTGGCAAACTAGAGCTGATGAAGACAGGCATAATGTGATGACTGGCCTAATGTGATGACTGACCTTGTAATCCATGCCTTCACCACAGTTGGTAACCACACAGAGTAGACCTAGAGCCTTGGCCAGATCCTTGGTGGTCTCTGTCTTGCCTGTACCAGCAGGGCCGGCTGGAGCACCTCCCAGCTGCATGGACAATGCCTATCAACAAGAGAATACATTAAAATATATTGAAAGAATTTTTTTAATAAATACAAACTAAACTTTACTTTGACAAGCAATGCTTTCAGAAAATACACGTGAGCCATGCATGTTCATGCATTAAAACTTAATTTCTAACCTTTCCTAAAAAGCAAAACTTTCCAAGAAATATGGAATAGTGATCCATTCAAAAACAAAAATCAGCTCTAAACATTTCAGTATTATTTATTTCATTTTTTAAGGTTTTTAATCCCAATTTCAAACTACTCTGAAATGTCTCAATGAACTCATTATGCATACATTTTCTTGGCCAATAGCTTTGTACTACAGTGATTTCATAAGAAGGACTGTTTATTCCATATAAGAAGACATGGTTAGTGCGAGAAGGTGAAGGTGAAAAGGACTTCACAAGGCAAGAAGTAATTTTGAAGATTTAATTGAATGGAGTATTATTTAATTGAATGGAGTATTATTGCGCAAAGTGTCATATAGTCGGAAAAGCCTGCTACAGCATTTGTTTTCAACTACCTGTTAACTGTCTTGTTTTATCTTGTCCTGTTATGAATTGTTATGTCATGTCCTGTCTTATCTTATGATGTCAGTTTTCTGTCCTTTGGGATTCGTCTTGTCATTTTGTTCTTTCGTACATTACGATTATTCAAACACTTTAAAATGGTTGATGAAAATATGTTATTATATTATTTTTTTAATTTTACTGTGATTATAAGACACTTTGAAATGATTTATGGAAATAATGTTCATATATATCTTTTTTGGGGAACCTACAAAAAACAAGATATGCTTTCCAGTAGGTTCCTGTTTCATTTTATAATTTTGAACTTATTTTGTCAACTATGTTCTTTATTGTGCAAACAACTGATATGAAATGGATACATTTGAATCAATCAACAACAAAAACTAGAGGATTCCTGAGGACCCTGGTATGCATGGCAGATTTTTTACAGACTGGTACAGAATTACGCAAGTTTAGAGCACCTACCTGTGTGAGGGTGAGATAGATTCTGTCGGTGAGAGGAGTGATAACCAGTCTACCGTTCAGTCCCATGTACTCGTAACCATAGCCGAAGGTTCCTGTGCACTGCCGTACATTGAGCTCGTCTGAATCACGGTCCCAGTAGAACCGTAGCTGACTCTCCCATTCAAACTCCTTGGCGTCTAGGATACTACAAAACAAACAGAAGAGTTTCATGTTCAAGTTTCAAGTTTATTTATTTCCACTTTATCGAAGATAACATAATTGAACAAAATCAACATGGTAATAATTATGACTAAACATACAATATAGAAATATAATGTACATGGTAAATAGTTATAACAAAAGACACAATCATAAGTATGATAAAGACATTGCAGAAAAGGTAAATAAAGTGGGGGATCTACTTAAAAGCAAAACTTGTATTATGTAGGTTCCAGTTAGTAGGTTTGTATATAAATTAGGGTATCTGAATAAACATAAGATAATGTTAATTGACATCTTCCATCAAATAACATGAGCATTATTCTTGGTTATACAGTGAAACCTGTTTATAAAGAGTGCTCAAGGGAGACACGAAAAGTAGTCTTTATAGGCAGGTGGCCTTTTAGTACAGGTTCCTTCAGCACATGTTTCAATGAAACACCATTTTCAAAGGAAACAAAAAATGTGGTCTTTCTATACGCAGGTTAGACTGTACCAACGAGTCTGATGTCAGACATGAACAATACTAAATATGTTTAATTCTCATTGCTGACACGCATCGCTTAAATTCAACCCAACGATATTTCAATGTTTCAACAATTAAACTTTAAACCAACTATTATGTAATCAACTTCTACTAATTTATTATAAAATCCCATTACTCTATATTGACTCACAGCTGTGAGTCTTTCTTTCATCATAGGGTGACCTTTTGACCTGAATCACTCCCTACTATCATAGAAATATTGACTGCCATGAAAGACATTGCTGTTTCTATAGTCTCAAGGGACGTTACATCCTGCTATGACCCGAGGCACGCTGAATTCACAAAAAAATCAACAAAGAATTCTTACCTTATCCTTTTTTTGAGTAAAGAGTAAATCTTCGCTGGAAAGTTGTCTGAATGTTACGATCATTCCGGTATTGCACAAAGAAACTTTTTACACATAAACCAATAGGGATCTCAGCAAAATTTATTTAAGCGGCCCCTTACCCGGGGCAATGGGCATCTTTTAAAAAACTATTGACCAGTAGGCGGGCATGGCTAAAATCACAACTCCAATTTCGACCAATCAGATGACTAGATTTATTCAACATACTAATGAGAGGTATATAAATCAATTTCTTACCTGTCTCTCACAAATCCATCAATGATATCTCTGGCATGTACATCAATGATGAGAACAGAGTTGAACTTGAGCCTTTCATTCTTGGTCAGAGGTGATCGAACCTGGTGGAATACAAAGACAGGCATACATGTTATATAAGAATTGAATTTCATATGGAGTTGCATCTCTTTAAACAACACAGGTACATGTATCTTATCCCATGTAATACTTAGCTTTAGATAAATAGTAACTTTTGCTGGGGTCTATGGAAATTATGTGTTACATAAAAGATCTAATTGCATCAAACAGATTAAATATCCCTTGTGAAAATAGTACTAATAGTGGGTTCTTGTATAGCGCTCAGTCTGTTGAAATTGACACTCCTGGCGTTCCACAATTAATCAAGATAAAATCATGATAGGAACAAAATCAACTGTCATAATTGCAGAAATCATTAAATCATGAACATTTGGGGAGGGGAGGGGGGGGGGGGGGGAAGAATCCTTATTCTTTTTCATGTTTAATGGCAACGTGATATGGAACTCCCAACCTACAACCCATGCCCCAATGGGAAGTTTGCCATTTTCTATTGTAAAGAAATGTAAACAATTTTGTTTTAACGTAATCTATTTCCATGAGAAGGAAATAAAAGGATCAGGTTCTCGATCTGCCCTGGATCTGACTGGACCGGGATATCAAGAAATGTTTTGGATTTGACGAATTACCTGGACTACAAGGTCATCGATCTGTTTGTGCATCTTCTTGGCGTACGTCTTCATGGCGACCTTGTCACCTTGCCTGACCTTCTGGAAGACATCCTCCACCTCCCACGTCCACCAAATCTGATTGGTTGCCAGGACAACCATACCTTGGTAGATGAACATCCACTCAACCCTGTAGAAATAAAGATGGGATTGCCAGTACATTACATTATTAAAGGTACATTACATTATTGCAGATACAGTAGGCGGTGTCACACAGAAAAATCCCTTAAAAAATCCTTTCAAGGGAGAATTTTCTTGCTTCATTAAAGGATTTTTAATGGGATAATTGATGACAGACAGCAATTAAGAGGATAACTAAAATCCAGATTTTTGGCCTCTGTGTGACACCCTATTACATGATTGCAGGTGCATTACATTATTAAAGGTACATTACATTATTGTGGGTACATTACATTATTGAAGGTACATTACATTACTGCAGGTACATTACATTATTGAAGGTACATTACATTATTGTGGGTACATTACCTTATTGAAGGTACATTACATTATTGTGGGTACATTACCTTATTGAAGGTACATTACATTATTGGTGGTACATTACATGATTGATAACTCAACAATAAAGGAGCAGAAAAAAAAGGATAATCACATTTAGACAATAACAGCTGTAGAGATTAAGGAAAAGTCCAGGGCCTATTCAATTCAGTATGGGAATTACGACTATATTTATACGACTATATTTATACTTAGCAATTTGCTTGGTTCAGTAATATGTTGTAACTCGTATTCAGATCACACCCAAGCATTTTACTTCACCACACCAACTTAAAAGCAAAATACTTAGTGAGAAGCATTGCAACTCCACACGGTCAATCCAAAATAATGCACGATTAACACATCGCATTAAATACGCGAATATAACTGTGCGCAGCTCAATGTCTTCATACAAAAATAAAAAAATAATACAAATGTCTCTAAGCGCTTTACAGATATACTTGAAAACCATATGCCTGGCAGTGCTCACCTAGATTTGGTTTCACAGTAAGTAAAGATGGCTTCTTTGGTGATGAGTCGATTGGTTCTTCTCATCTCCTCCAGGACGCAGGTCATCCAATCCTCTACCCTGCCCTCAGCGGTCACCACCTGCCTGTAGTTCATCATCTCCCCTTCCGCAGACACCATCGCTAGGGCGGTCGTCTCCTTGTTGTTGCCCTCTTGGAATTTCAGCGACGCAATGTTGTCGAACATCTGATGATAAAAAATGAGAATGAATTGATGCGGTACCTGTCAATTTGTGCCCCCAAAACCTTTGGAAAGACAGTATAGAAATACCTGAAGGGGTGCTTGAATCAGCCACAACACCCTCTATAAGCCAGTTCATAGTTGCAGTCTGAGCATGAGCAGATAAAGGTCATTGCAGACCAAATTGCAAAATACACGGAGACAAAATACTGGATACGTGCTGATGAAAGTTATGTAATCATTATTCATTTGCACAAGCAGTGCACTCCATGATACACAGGTTGAATTATTCTTTGAAAAGGGGAAACAAAGGCTATTTATGTAGCGCCTCCATTGCTGTTGGAGTAATTATTTCAAAATATACAAAGTGGGACCTCTTCATGTTTTGAAGATCTGTGGATATTCGGGGTCATTTGGGACATGTGCTAACCGTGAACTGGTCTATTGAAACAAAAGTTCACATAGAAATTTATGAAACAATACCTTGAAAACAGGATTTTTCAGATTTTAAAATGTTGCCCCCCCCCCCCCTCTTTAGAAAGTCATGAATTTGATAAGCTTTGCCCGATTCTTACCTTGATCATATGTTCCTGGACACAGGTAGCCTCACTGCTTCCCAGGATGGATAGCAGCTCATCGTCAGAGATGAAGAAGAAACGGGGGAAGGCATTTCTCTTGGAGTCCAGGTAGTCGTTGAGACTCTTCTGGCACTTCTCAAGACCGGTGCTGATCATCTCCAGATCCTGCAGACGGTTTGGGGCGTGGCAGGCATCCTTGATCTTGGGGTTTGCCACTGTATCATGCATGATCTTCTTGAAAGTCTTGTCGATGGCATCAAACTTCTTGGCCTCCTCTGGAAGCTGTGATCTGATGTCACCACCGATGAAGATACTCTCAAGGTACATCCACTTCCGCTGCACCACCAACCAAACCTAGAGGTGACAGAGAGATCAAAACAATCAGTGAAAAGCTTATCTCAATACTACTTGAACCAATACAGCTAAAAGTTTTCAATAAAAAAACTATGATACTAGTATCAACTCTTACAATTTGTTTTTCCTTTCTTCAATACATGTGTCATAGTCGAGTGGTTTAAGCAAAGGTCGCAGTTCTATCCCCGAGGCGTCACTAATGTCCTTTGGCAAGGCATCAATCTACGTTTTCCACTCAATACCCAAGAGATAAATGGGGACCCGGTAGGATGACGAAAGCATTTGAGTTAGTAATTGCCTATGCCCTCACGATGACCATATGGTGTCTGGACCCTTCTGCCTTGCTTAAGACTTTCTGCCTAACCTCGCTACTGAGATACTGTTAATTTTAATAAGCAAGTTTGTAGATACACAATATGCGCATGGGGGTGACAAAGGGCATCTGTACCAAAATTGTAAAACCTACCAAGACAAATACTGTATAAGTGCTCATGAAAGTTATGTCATCTTCATTCATTTAGGTACCTAGGTACAAAGATGAAACACAGGAAGTTCTCAAGTGGGCAAACAAAAGGTATTCATGAAGCACATTCATGACTTTGGCAGTGATTATTCTAGAATGCATAAAGTGGGACTACTCCATTTGTAGAACTAGTAATAGTATGTGGTAACTAGAAACTGGTGTGTTTAACAAGGATAGCTTACCTCCAGGACCTCTCCAATCAGGGACAGACTCTTCTCCCAGCTCTGGACCTGGTTGAGGAAAGGACCGATGAAACGTGAAGCGGACATGCTCTGAAGATTCATGGAGTTGTCGTCCAGTATCTGCATGACCTCGTCCACCGCTCCTACGATGTGACCTCGCTCCTGGGTGCCCTTCATGTACTTGATGACGTTGAACTTCATGCCTTCCCATACCTCGGTCACTTCCTTGATACCCTGTATCATCAAAGCACGATGATGATAATAATCATAATTAGATTCTTATATAGAAATAGCGCATTACAATCAAAACGTCTCTTTGCATTTTACATAGTAGCATAGAATAGAGGTAATTACAATTGGAAATATAGAGATGTTTATTGAGATATAGTATATTACAGATAAATGGGAAATGTATAAAATACAACTAGATAGCTTTACATTCTTAAGGTACAGAGAAAAGTGTTTACTTGTATTTTTCTGCTCAAACATGAATGTTATTCCAATAACCAATATTTCCGGAAGAACTTTAAATCCTAAATGGACTGCTAATAATTAGAATGTTTCTGCTAAAGTATCTTTCCCATAATGTATCTTTAAAATGAGTCCAAAATAATCAATAAAACTAAGGTACAAGTCAAACAGAATCCAACTCCTAATATTTCAGAATATGTGGAACGATACATGAGTCAAACAAAGAACAAACAAACAAAAACAAATAAAAACAAAAACAATTAACAATAAGAGAAATTCCTTATCCAAGAAATAATCTCATTTTACGACCGTATATATCTGCAGTACGTCCTACTTCTTTACAGTCAATATATTCAACGTAACATGTTATTACTATCATCAATATCATCATCATTTCATCATCATCGTTATACTGTAGTTCCATATCAAGAACAGTATACTTGCCTTTTCAATGCTCAACTCTTTAGAAGCACTGGTAACGATGTCAGCAATGACTTCCTTGAAGTTATGAAGCTCCATAGCAAAGAGGTTGTCCAGTGTGAAGGTGTCCGGGTTCATGTCAAAGGACTGTCCAGTCTTGACCATCAACTCCTTCCAATGGCTGAGAGGGAAAACGAGACAGTGTTGTATTAGGTTTAGAAGACCACAGAAGGGCAAGTGCTGTAAATTTGGTGATTTGCTGTCCCATACGTTACCAAATATTGTAGAGCTCTGCATATCTTGACATCAAATTTCATATTGGGTTGGTTAGAAGCTCTAGTAGGGCTATTAACTTAATACAATTATCAGATATATATTAAAATCATAGATGTGGTTTGTGACATACGGGACAATAGCTTGGACTTGCCAAGAAATGTCCTTTGGCGAGACATTAAACTACATCCGCCACTCCATACCCAGGAGAGGAATGAGAACATGGTAATGTTAAAATTCATTGTGAATCGAAATGTCAGAACCATTGAAGTAATTTTTGTTGGCATATAACACTACACACGTATTTCATTGATAAAATATAGCCTGGAGTGAATGTTGGATGACTTAATTTATGCTTGACTCACCGCTCTCTGAGAGCCTCGTTCTTGAGGTCATCAAAGAGTGGGATTGAATCCCTCAACTCCTTCAAAAGACCTCCAAACTAAACCTAACGATAACCCTAACATAAATCTACCTTTACACCATATAGCATCCATAACCCTAACACCTAATTCTTTGAGACATTATAGCCTGGAGCAAATGTTGGATTACTTAATCTATGCTTGACTCACCGCTCTCTGAGAGCCTCGTTCTTGAGGTCCACAAAGAGTGGGATAGAATCCCTGAACTCTTTCATACGGCCTTCCACCATCTGAGCGGTACGGGAGCCCTTGATGTCACGGGGGAGCTTCTTGAGGGTCTTGATGAAGCCCTCGATACCATCCACCAGGTGATTCACGTTCAGGTTGGCCCAAAGAGTCTGAGCCCATTCCTCACGAGCAGCCTAAAACAGAACAACAAATATCATTGTTATCATTGACTCTTCTCCTCAAACAACTATTACTGGGATCCCAGCTTTGTTCCACATACACGTACATGCATTTGATTGAATTGACAACTGTGCCTACTATATAAACTTATTCTTTTGGACCTTGACTATGAGTTGTGGCGTGCGCCTGTAATCCAGCTAACAATGGAAGTTACAAACTGATTCAGTCAAGGAAGCAGGTTTGGAACCGAGTCACGTTTTTCGGATGGCAGGCCTTAAATTTCAGTATTTTTACGGCAAGGCCACTTTTCTGTAGGACACATTCCTATATTACAGCACAAATAGGAAGAATTGGAAAGGGCACCAAAAATTTCCAAGGCCAATGGGAGGGGCATTAAGGCCAATCAAGGGGGCATCCAAGGCCATGGCCTTGGTGGCTTTGGATTAATTTAAGCCCTGGGATGGTGACGTTAAAGGTCGGGTCCCAGACGTCAATAATCATATTTGATTGATACACGTCTGTAAAGACCCAATTAGACACACATACCTTTCTTGGTGTTTAAGTTTGCAATAATATTGTATTATGCATACAGATTTATTACAACTCTATTCCTGCACACACTCAATCACCTTAATCACCTCAATTATTTTGATTAGTTAATTACTTCTCATCTTTATTGTTTAAATCTTCTACGAATAAGTATTGTATGATGTAATCATCGTCATATTACTTTTGTACTTTGATGCTTTTATTATGATGGAATTAATGTCAGTCAATTACCTTGTAAAACTGACAATATTTGCCATCAGCTCGGCATGTCAATGAAACCAAATTAATCCAATTCAATTCAACCTACCTCAATCTGATACCCCCCCCCAAAAAAAAAAAAAAAACTAACTAAAAGTTAAGGAAGTCAGTATTACAAGTATATGAGGAATAACCATTTCAATCATGAAAGTCAAATGATGCTTTCCAAAACCAGTAAAGAAATATTTGAAAGAGAGTAAAATTCTTGAAATTGTTTGCTTACCTTTTGATTTTTGTAGATTTCATAGGTCTTATCCAGACCATTCATTTCCTTCTGGACCTGGACCAGTTCAGGATACATTGTGATAGGCAGATCAAACAGTTTCTCAGCGTTGGCTAACTCCTGTCTGTCTCTCTCATAGTTGGCCATTTCCTTCTTGAATTGCTCCAGCAGTTCAACACCTAGATTCAAGCAACAGGAGGGGAAAGAAATTTGTCATGCAGGCTCTGTTTGACGTTGATACAATTAACAAAACCATATGCATGTTACATAACCCAAAGAAGTGGCTGATATCTTGTCATGCACACTGTCTCTGATGTTGATCTCTTGCAATACAATTAGATGTTGTGCTCCAGAACCATATATCTGTACAGTCAAACCTGTTTTAGTGACCACCTGTATAGAAAGACCACCTGTATACAAAGACCACATTTCTAGTTTCCCTTGAAAATGTTTTTACATTGAAACATGTACTAGAGGCACCTGTACATAAAGACCACCTGTCGACAAAGACCACTTTTTGTGTTTCCCTTGGGTGGTCACTATAGACAGGTTTGACAGTAGTATATAAAATCAAAGGCACTACTGGCACTTCTGCCCTTATCTACAATTTTACATGTAGTTAACCCGTGGACTACTGAATTCTATTATGCCCATAGGCTTAATACAGGTATGACCCGGTTCATATAGGTAAGGGGTTAATCTTCAGTTGTCCAGTAATGAAACAAAACAATTCTCCATAAAATGAAGATATATATTTAGACTGACTATTTGAGAGAAGAAATTAATGAGATCACACAAATTTGGTAGAACTTGAATGTCTAAAAGCTGAGAAACAAGCAAAGCATGGCAAAAGTTCTCATCTGAAAGCCTCCGTGGTCTGATACAAGTTGCAAATACAGTGAATGTAATTTCCATCAAGTCTTTATTTACATTCTGTTGGTTCAAACAGTGCATCTACAGCACAATGAATAATTCAGATTAGCTCCATTTCAGTTCCTCCTGAAATGGAATTCCCTTCAAACAACTTGACATTATCTTTGACATCTTACTGAAACCTTGGGCATTCAGGAATTGATATAATTACAAGTATTTGTTAGGTCTGTCTTCATCAGCTCGAGTTTTCCAAATAACCCCTATTTTAACTTTCATGATCGCAAATTATCTAGCTAATTGGCGTCTTCATCGGCCCGCAGTTGCAATTAGCGGGATATTTGGCCGAGAAAATATCCCAAGAAATCTTGATCTTGTTTCGAAAACATCCCGCTATTTGGGAAATAGTGGGCTATGTGCACGAGCAAGTTTGTGATGAACGTATCAGTCTGGTGTAGACGCAATTTTGAGCTTAGGGATAATATCCTAAGTCTGAAAAAAGCGGGTTATTTGGCAAACTCTAGCTGATGAGGACAGGCCTATTGGTTCTTGAGAGCAAGAACGGCCTAAACTCTTCGTAAGGGTATATGATCATGTATGATCAATGCCCTTCTGCATCTCGACAGATGATACGGCAGTAACTCCGAGAAGCTCCAACACCGGCGCCGCAGGCGTCGGAGCTTCGGGTGGTTTCATTGGTTTCTCATGGGGGCTAGTAAAACAGCCGGTTGGGTGATATTATCGTTAAATCTGCAAAGGGAGTACTTACAATTTTTACATCATACGGTGCACGACTCCTAAGGGCTCAACTCCAAACACTTGAATGTATAATTTGAAGAAGTCTTCGATGGGAAAAAAAGGTTAAATCAGGGTACTACACCAACGATTCTTCCATGTCGCAGCGTTGATTCAAAATAGCGATGAGAAGGTACGCATGCGCGGCAGTGGCGAAGAAAATATGAATATTCATGCTATCGAGCGCCGATCGCTCGAAATCGCTGAATATGCACGAGGTTGAGAAGGGCTCTATTTGTTCGAGTCGTGCATATTCAGCGATTTCGAGCGATCGGCGCTCGATAGCATGAATATTCATATTTTCTTCGCCACTGCCGCGCATGCGTACCTTCTCATCGCTATTTTGAATCTACGCTGCGACATGGAAGAATCGTTGGTGTAGTACCCTGATTTAACCTTTTTTTCCCATCGAAGACTTCTTCAAATTATACATTCAAGTGATTGGAGTTGAGCCCTTAGGAGTCGTGCACCCTATGATGTAAAAATTGTAAGTACTCCCTTTGCAGATTTAACGATAATATCACCCAACCGGCTGTTTTACTAGCCCCCACGAGAAACCAATGAAACCAACCGAAGCTCCGACGCCTGCGGCGCCGCTGTTGGAGCTTCCCGGAGTTAATATGGCAGGAATCAATACTTGCCTTTGTCTAGATCATTGCCTACTGCTCCAGGACCACCCATCTTGAAACGGTCTTGGAAGCTGTTTAGCTCCTTGCTGAAGCCACCTATCTGTACTTGGGTGATCTGTAAGAAAAAGGCAAACAATAAAACATCACTACTTAACAACACCATGACATGGGAGCACAATGGCTCATAGCAAAGAATCATGTTAATGTCATTGTCATTTCAAAAAGTACCTTAGAATTTTCAAATCAAGACAGAGAAATAATCTATTATATTTATAATGGAATACCAATGTCAGAGAGCATCTCCACTGCTGAAATTAACAAGTTGACAACCATTTTTCATATTAATATTAAATAACTCCTCCAAATAAGGCAATAGAATAATTTGTTGTTTGTTTGTTTATTTGTTCTACCCGACTGCTAAGAAGGCATGGGTATGCTTGTATACTTGTAAGTAAGCAACCAGTTTTATGTCCTCTCTGAGGGACTTGGTAATGAGGATCAATGCCTTATCAAAGGGCACGAGCGCATTGACTTGGTTACCAACCCAGGACCTCCTGGTTACAAGACCACTGCCCTACCACTGAGCCATCGCGGCTCCCCTAAGTGATACGGCATGTGGCAGGTAGCTGTTGAATACATACCTCAGTGAACTTCTTCTTGACCACCACTAGGCTCGCATCAACGTGCTTTGACTCCATGGCCAGATCATCCCACATCTGCTTGATATTCAGACAGGTCTCCGTCTCTTCCCCCGTCACGGGTAGGTTGTACATGGCCAGGGTGCGGTAGCGCTCCAGGATGTCTGCGATGCGCATGTCAACGGTCAGAGACATGTCCCGGATGTCCGAGATGACACGCAGCACGAACTTGAGATCCTCAAGCGTGTCTGGAGCTCGCTTCAAATCAGAGGCTAAGCCCTGAACAAACGAAAAGAGAAAAATACATTAGATGTACTGTTTTGGGATTGCATGCTAACTGATAAAACAAGTTATTGAATAGTTACAAGAGACTGTATGTGAATGTAATTTCTCTATGTGATATATTAGCAAAATATGACAAGAGTATGAAAATGACATGAATCAGAACAAATATACTGTATTGCTCTGTTTATTTCTGCTTAAGGGTCAAGGCAAATCATACCGTATTGCTTAGAGTTACAAGTGATATATGTATGTGAATGTAGTTTCTCCATGTGATCTAATTTCAAAAGCAAAATATGACAAGATTATGAAAATGACCCAAATCCGAACAAATATACTGTATTGCTCAGTTAATTTCTTCTTAAGGGTCAAGACAAATTATACCATATTGCAAGGCAGATATCATATAGTACTAGTCCATAAGATCGTGCTATTGATTTTTCATGAAAAGAAGTTTGCTTGAGATTGTGATGCGTGAAGAGCAATGCTCATGTTGACAAGCAATCATCACAAAAAAAATGACATGACAGAAAAACATACACATGGGAAGTATGATAACACAATAAGAATGGACAACCAGTGGCTGATCACAAGAAGGCTTTTACTGCCATTGACAAAACACAACTCTTGAAGTAGTCACCCAAAGAAAATTCACGATGACTGATAATTATGGACAAATTATTTATGGATGGAAAGATTTCTCTTGAAAAACATGAATAATTTGCTCAAAAATCATATAGATATTATGGAAAAGCATAAAATGCTTTGTGGCTAAGTGTGTCTCGCATATGTCGTCACAAATCTCTACGGAGGACCGCTGAAAGCACAAAATCTGGATCTCAAAATTAACATTTCTGAGAGATGACTGCGGGCTCCAAACATATTTTGAAGAGGGAAGTTGTTATATTTGATCAGTAAGACTTCCCCTTGGCAATGATATGAATTTCACATCAATTCATGTCACTTTTGATTCTTTGGGTGACTACTTTAAGGCCTTCTTGCAAGCAGCTAACAATATATAAATTTAAGCAAAGGAGTGAAGAGGAACTAACCGTGAGTTCAGTCTTGAGACCCATCAGATCTTCCTTGACAGCATCTTGCAGGAGCTGGCCGAGGGACTCCACCCACTTGCGGGCGTGGTCTCGGACAGTGTCGGCAAGGAGCTTCATGTGGAGACGGACGCAGTCCTCATCCTTGATCTTGGGCTGGTTCCCGACCTACATGCGATCAAATATGAAACAAAGATGAAAAAGGTTTAAAAAATAGAAACAACTCTGTGATTGTATTGTATTGTAGAGGTGTTGTGGTCCGCGGATCACAAGGTCCAAGGTTCAAGTCCCGCCGCAGCACTTACATGTATGTCCTTTGGCAAGATATTAATCTATATTTGCCTCACTTGACCCAGGTGAAGTAAATGGGTTCCTGGTAGGATTATTCCTTGAAATGCACTGTGCGCTGATTATGGCTGCCGAAGCTAAAGCTAGGGTAATAATTTCCAAAGCTCTTTGGAAGCGCATAGAGACGTTATTTAATGTGATATGCACTATACAAGAACTGAATATTACTATTTGTATGGCTGCATCTCCCGCTCAATGTTTCTAAAGTGCTTCCCATACACATTTCAAGCAAAGTGTTTGAACACCAGTATCTACGTAAAACATTGAATTAATGAAAATAATCTTCAAATATTACAATGATCAATTAAAAACGTGCAAAGAACAAAATTCAGACTCAAATAAGATTGAAGCAATGCAATTGTGTCATGAATTGAAAAACTCAAAGCCTCAATAAATACAAGGAATATAAATTATGAACTATTTTCTACTTACAAATGTTTAAGGCTACATTAATGAGTCACTATGGCTTTTGATTGAGAGATCAGTGCATGAAGTCCAAATTTTGATGGAATTTCAAGGCAACACAATTCCTAGGCAGTTTTGTATCAACCTGGCCGAAATAAATACTTGAAACCCTCATTTTAAATGACTGTATCTGAATATAATAGTACCTCAGTAGCTAGCTTGGAGTAGAACTGTAGCTTGTCATCATACGCCACACAGGTTGGATTCTTGCTAGCAAACTTCTCAAGCATGATGGTCTTATCCAACTTCCACAGGGGTCTGTATCTCTTCCATCTGGGGTAGAAGAAAAAAATTAAAATCGCTTGATATAAATAGCATTCATACAGATCCCATTTAAGGTTCAACAATTTTTCAGACAGTCATATCATTTGAATGTAAACATACATAATTATAACAGGGCTCAACACTAACATGCGCCCGGGACACATGGGTGACCAAAATCTAAGTCCCCGCCCCCCCCCCCATTTTTTTTTGTGCTTAGGGCTCATGTTTACAGGCTCTAAAAACTAATATATAGACCCCTTTCCAAAAAACTAAGTGTGGAGCCCTGTCTTTAATTTAAAGAGTTGATATCAATCGCAGTTCATATCAGTCGCAACTATGTACATAAGAGATAGGAGACTGCAAACGTGCGATTGCTTTGGATCAATTGCAACTGTTCATACGACGGGGCCCAGTTATATACCTAGGAACATTTGAAGACATTAAATCTACATCAGGGTATGACACATTCAGATAGTTAACAATTAATAATGAGGTATCAAAAATAATTCCATGCATAAGTTTATAGTAAGTTAACTTAGCACACAAGTTCACAATGAAATGCTTTGATTACTTTGTTCAAACACTACTGTTCACTCTCCCTTTGTTTGGTATTTAACCTGCATTATATCTTTAGAAAAGTGATATTTATGGCTAAATATAACCTGAATACAGGATATAACCACACAACTCCTAACACAGCAAAATAGTTTGGGGGTATTGGTCCTCTTAAAAAGATTGATAAAAAAAGTGAGGGCAAGCACAGACTCGATCACTGATTTAGAAACTGACCTGTTGAGATATTTGGTGAGGTTGGTCAGTGACTTCTGCATGGACGTTGAGGTGGTCTGGACCAGCTCGATGACCGCAGGGTCTGCTGAGATGTCCGAGAAGAAACTGAAGATGTACGGCTCATCCTCGCCGTCCACGTTCTGTGGCGGAGTCTCGATGCAGGTGCCGTGCATCCAACGCACAAAGTTCTTGGTTCTGTTCACAAGACAAAAAATATTGTAAAAAATAAGTTGGCATTAAAGAGGCAGATATTATGCATCGAGCACACAGTTTTTAATTCTGGTTAGGAGACAAGTGAGGTATGAATTATGAGTTTGTACTAAACCTCCACTAAATCAAAATTTGCCATTGTTCTTCTTTGCCCAAAGAGTATCATATTGTTGTATTCAAGCGCATGAACATATCTGTATTTCAGTCCTAAGTCCTAAATTTAAGAAAAACTGAAAGAAATTTCACAAAATTGTCTTGTAAAAATTCATGACAAACTTGAAAATCATTGTAATCTATGTAGCATCTTATAAGTCTTTTTTACATATTGCTTTGCACATTCAGAAATTAGGAGAAAGTGTCAATATAATAGGCTTGTTTTATATATTATTACTTTTACAATGTACTATGCTGATGTCCTCTTAATAACATCATTATTATTATTAAGTATTTGGCGTCACCTGTGCCTGGGAGGCAAAAAGCGAACTAAATCATTGTAAACCTTTGGTCCCCCTTCCGGTATTACTGATTTAAGGGGTAGTCTGGAAGTACTGTCACGATGCTTTGCATCCACACATACAAAGTTCACTGAGGTTTGCTACAAAAGTACAATAATATCCCAGATAAGTTAAAGTTAAATAGCATATCACTAACCCTTCCACCAGGTCTCTGACACACTGCATGGTGAGCTTGTAGATCTCATTAGCTGCCGGGGCTAGGATGATCTCTGGGGCAGATAGCATGGCTTCTATCTGGAATAGAGGCTTGTTGGTGACCGTGTCTCGGTTGAACTCAGACAGATTCCTGATCACCATCTAATCAAACAAGAAAGAAAAGAACCAAATTTAAATAACATTGATCAGGCAAAAATGCTCTGAGAGCTACATGTATTGGGTTATTAGGATGAAAAATAAATATTATTATTAACGTCTTTTCCAAAAATATAGGTACCAAAATGTACTGGTATATTATGGGAAATGAATACTATTATTATCACTTACATCAACATGTGTACAAACAGTTAGATATTAAATAGTATTTTCTATATCATTTAATTATTTTAAAAACTGTTAAGCTTGAAATATTATTTTACAACACATAAAAAGGTTATCTCAGTTAACAACCCTTCCAAATTTCTCTCCATCATCTATACACACAGTTTTAAAATCGGTACTAAACAGACTACAAGTTAAACGATGAACATCTATTCTGCGAACAATATCAACTTTACGATGGGTTCATACTTAAAAACTGAGGTAATAGATGTCAAATGGACTAGTGAAAGCAACTCGCAATACAAATGAAAAGCTGTCCACCATCCACCAGTTAACACCAGTGATAAGAATGATTTCACTCAACCAATTTCTACAATAATAGCAATCCCTATCTTACCCTTTTGAGAGTCCCGTAGACTCTTCTCTCCCAGAAGGCATAGTATGCATTGAGACGTGGAGACTTTCCAGTGTTAGTATGGACCACTAGACCCTCCATCTTGGTGAGCAGAGGTCCGATGGCTCGGTACTTCCTGGACAGCGTCTCGTACATGTGAAGCCTCTCCCTCTCAATGTGGTCATAGAATTCCTAGTAGCAAAAAAAATATCAGAAAAATAGAACTAGTACTAGAAAGAAATTCTCTCTTGATGTGGTCATAGAATTCCTAGTAGAAAAAAAAAGTCAGAAAAATTGAACTCCTGGTAGAAAGAAATTCTTTGAATAAAAATCCTTCACTCTTGTCACCAGTTATCCACTTTCAGAACTCAACTAAAGGCATACCTATTTTAGATTGCTTACAACTAGTCACTGCTTTTTTGTCTTTCCCAGTTAGAATCATGAACAGACCTTTTTGGTAGAGTTTCAGTTTCATCAGCGCCTTTGATTAGGCAACTAGATATTGGCACTTTATAAATACCTGTATTGGATGGATTGGAATAGAAGTAATAATATTGGGTTCTTTGTTAGTGCTCATGTCTGCTGTGGGTAACAGCATTCCAGTTTTTGTTGAAAGAATTCAGACAAGTAATACAAAACCTTAATGATAAACCTAAGCATTATAGCATGACTCGACTGACATGAGCAGACATCTACAGAGTTCCTATTGTCTTGTTACGCTGTTTAGAGCTTCTACCCGGATGATTGCAAAATGTTTGCATGTAAGAGTGAGTGATCAATTATCAGCTTGAACAACCAAAATATAATATTATGATTTACTCTTATTCAATATAAACATTCCTACTTCCTCTATAAAGCAATGTATGTATGTTGTAAGTCGTTATCACTGTTCATCATCAACATCATCATTATCTTCATAATAATCATCGACACCAGTTTCATCATCATCATCATCATCATCATCATCATCCTCATCATCATCATCTTTATCATCATCATCATCATCATCATCATCATCATCATCATCATCATCATCATCTTAATCTTCATCACAATCACCATCAGTTTCATCATGATTAAATATGAACGCCCATGCCATGAACTCTTAAATGGAAAAGGGCTCAATGTGCAGACTCTGTCTACAATGCAAGGCTAAAGATGTGAGACAGTCATTGACTGACCTTGCAGCTTGGTAGAATATCTTCTTTGACCTGAGGAGGGGGACCTTTGAAGAGTTCAGCTAGCTCCATGGCTCTCAGACGAGCATCGATGTCCTTGGCGTTCTTCTGGATCTGGTTCACCAGGGACTCAAATTTGGAGATTGCCTGCGATTAAAGAAACAAAAACATGCATGAGAGTTATTTGAATGAAGTTAGTTTTGTATCTTTGTTTTAGCTGAAATCTAAGGCCTAAAGCACACTACATGGTCCGACTGATTGTGTTTCTATTTTTAATTTTCTCTGATTGAACTCTCCTTAAATTGACATAAAACATTGACTGCTTTAGGGTCAAAAGTTAAACTACTGCCCTAAGGTAATCTGTGCTGTCCTTTGACGAAGTCTTGGACCAAAGTACAGTCCAGAGATCACCATGGGCTCGTCTACATCCACTGCCTTATCATTGCAACGTAGCAGTGTTATATATCTCCGGTGTAAGAAAGGAATTTGTTCAGAGTAGGACATTGCACACACAGCGTTACTCGCTAAAACATCTTTCATGGAACCGCTTTGACCAATCATGGACCAAATTTTTTCTCTCAAAACATTTCTAATTTAAGCAAATCATATCACAATAAAGGTTTTAATGTGAGTAATATAGATGAGGATAAATGAATAGAAGTGATTTCATACCTGTTCACATCTGGTGTTATAATCAGCGATACCAAGAGAGTTCCAGTTGAGACGTTTGTGTCCTGGTTTGAGAGTACGTCTCAGCTCTCTCAGGTGCTCATCAAGGAGTTGGGTCTACAGCGAGCAAAACAAAAAAAATCAAATATCAAAACAAAACCAACATTAAAAAAAAATCATAGTAATGTTCCTACATTCAAACACAAAATACATGTCATATACAGAAGTAGGTTATATTATGAATAAATTTTTTGTCTTGAAAGTCAAATGATGATTTACAAACATTAGTTCTAAATACTTCATTAACTTCTTGATGGAAACAAAAGAATTTTATCCTGTAGCATCATAAGACAAACTTTAGTTCAATACAATTGATTTTTAGTGAAAACAAATTACAATCATTATACCTCAGATAACAGGTAAAATACATACATGTAGTACCATAGTAAAGGCCCATAAGTGAAAACCGACCGACACGTTTTCAATATTTTATTCATCGACTAGTTGAGAGAGGGGAAGAGGCACCAACAGGGGAGCTGTCTCAATTTTTAAAATCAGAATCCTAAATTGAATGAATAATTACCTCGGCAGAGTCGATGGAAGCTATCACACCATGGTATCTCTGTAGCATGTGATTCAGACCATCTTTCCATCTGAGATACTTGTCTTCCTGTAGAGGTCAAATGTCAAAGGTCAAAATTAAAGATGGTTAGTGATGACAGGTGCTGGACATAATAAAAGCAGATCATCTCTTATTTAGATGGATTACATAGTTACATTATTCAATTGCCTCTTGCAATCTGTTGTAAGTGAGTACAAGGTCCATTGATCCACTGGAACTCCTAAAAGTCGATTACAACTTGGCATTTAAATGTATGAGTGCAACGATTCATAAAACAGTTTCTTAGGTTTATTAATTACTGAATCTAAAAGGTTCTAGTTGTTTTAGTATATATAGTCAAATCTATTTTAGTGTCCACCTGTATAGAAAGACCACCTGTCTACAAGGACCACATTTTTTGTTTCCCTTGAAAATGGTTTCTCATTGAAACATGTACTATAAAAGGCACCTGTACATAAAGACCACCCGCCTATAAAGACGACTTTTCTTGTCTCCCTTGGGTGGTCTTTATAGACAGGTTTCACTGTATATGACTCACCTGTAGGGCTACATTACGAGCAAGCTCAGGGATGGAGAATCCTAGCTGCTCCATGTACTTGGTCTCAGTGATGATCTCTGACAGGTCTGGAGCAAAGTCTACTACATACTTGGTATCCGTACTAAGACCTGAAATGATGCACACAAAAAAAAAAAATAAGGTTATTAGTATTATTATTGGAGGGGAAATGCGAACTGAATCACTGTAACCATTGGGTCTCTCCTCCCTGAATATAATAACTGATTCGGATTGTGCAGGTGGACTACTACACCGAGCATTCCCCCTACTAAAAGTGGAGTGGGTTCGAATTGTGCGTAAGGTGGTGACTCTCCTCTACACAGGGCCTCGATTTAACGTCCTATCTGAGGGACAAAGGTTCTACAATACGCAAAGAATGGGAAAGCATGATGTAACTCAAGTCAATTAAATATTGAGAATTTGCTCAGGACCAACAGAAACATGCATGAAGATAATGTGTCATCTAAGTGGGCAATTCCTTCCACATTTTACATAAATAACACTGCTTTAATAATATTATTGAAATAATTGCATTTTTTTTTTAAACTGAATTTTTGCTATTACATCTGCACATAAAGCATCACATCCAATTTCTTTACAATCAACCATGTCACATGACAATGTACAATGTGGCTGTAACTTCTTTACATCTAATTCAATTTAATTCAATATATATTAAAATATGAATGCCATATGAATAGAAAGCTGAGGAGCTCCCATCCATGTATTGTCTGTTTGTGTAAAACATTCTGGCCAGAATGGTAAAACTTCTCCTTACTTTTTAATATTTGAACTTTGACCTTACCCATTGACCTGTGTGTATCATCACCATCGTCACCCCCTGCGTGTTCATGTGTCTTTCCTGAAGGCATCTGATCCTGGGGTCGGGTCAGGAGGTTACGCTTGAGTAAGCCCGGTAGAATCAACTCAACGTGTTCACGCCACACCTTGTATTTCCTGTCCTCATATTCTTTCATCTGTCTGGCTACACCTAGGTACTTGTTTCTTGCCTACAAGAATCATGTATACCAGTAAACAAATTGATTAAAGGTAATACAAAGTTTTGGCAAATTTTGAAAATTGGGTGGATAGTGATTCTTTACAATTTTGATATATTTGGATGCCCCTGTGGATGTATTATAAGCACTAGAAAATTTAGCCCCTAAAACAATTCTGCTTCAGAGAAAAATAGAATAATTTTTTTTACCGGTGCTCCCCGGCGTAAATTTTGATAAATTTCAAATAGCGCCTCTAGCAGTACAATGGTAGCTGCGACCATGAAAATCTCAGAATATGTAGTTGTGATATACATGACATTTCCAAATGGGAATAGTTAATCGGTCGATTTCAGTCAAGAAACATTGTTTTATAGCTTAATTAATATCTTGACTTTGAGAGGGAGCTATACAACATAAAGAGTTTATTACTTGCAATTTCATAACTTTAGACTCGATTTCAACCGCGACAACGGTCACTGAATATTGTAGGATCGCATATGCTTCCAATATGTTCATTTGAACCAAATTCATGACCCCATACCGAAACTTTGTATTACCTTTAAGCACAGTTGGAAACTGTCCTGAATAAGTGTATGATGTAAAAATACTCTTCCATGTCTACCGTGTCCATGTACAGAAAAATCATCAAAAGGTAAAATAATGAACTCTTGTTTCACCAGATAGATGAGAACTTTTCAAAACGACCAAATTAATTTCCCATTTTTTTCATTTCATGGTATGAGTTGTGTCAGACTTTTTTTTCTCTTCAAAGTATGTTCCCTATCTCTAAAGAGTATTTGATTCTCAAAGGCATTTGTTTTCCTTCAAAATAAAGAGGAAGACTATTTAGTTTTCCGGTGGCTTTAAAAGCTTTTGGGTATTATGAAACAGGTGCACATCGATCCATTTAAATAATAAATGATGAACAATGAACTAAATCTATAAATAAACAGGGGCGATAGTGAGCACTATTCGTCAACCACCCCCCTTGAATAAAATATTTAAAAAAGGATTCAGGGGGAAAGAAAATGGCATCGAACAAAATTCGCCTTTTGAGTAAGAAAATTCGGGAAAAATAAAGAAAAATAAGGGGAAATCTGGAAAATAGAGGGAAAATGGGGGGGGGGGGGGGGGGGGGGGAGAAAAAAAATCTGGATTTTTAAAAATAAAATCAGGAAACCAATTTAAATCGGGTAATTATCAGGCCTAAAATAAAGAAGCAAACATTGAATAACTATAAAACACTTACAGCTTTGCCGTATTCACTGGTGAGCATGTCCTCCATGCTCTGGAACCTGATGATGGTGTGTTTGATCCGATGGAAGAGAGATCGCTCCCAAGCGATAGCTCCGGCTACGGGAGGCTGATTCTTAGACACGGGAGGGTTGTGCTGGTACTGCTTGAACAGGGCTTGTACGGTGTCGACCTGTTTGGAAAATACACCAAATTTAATTGCCAATTGTAGTATTTTATATGCCGTAAGGGCATTAACTCATATATTTTCAAAAAGACTTTTGATACTTCTGGATCTGTACAGACAGTACATTTTATTTTGTAATACTAATTATATCATTCTCTACAGAAGGATCACGGTTTTGTGGTAAAAATAACAACTGGAAATGAAATACATGTACAACTCCTCAACCATGTATGGGAAAATGCCATACAGGAAAATCTAGGATTGTTTGAACTTTGAATGTTTGAATTGATTGTTAAATAATCTACTTTAAAATAATAGAATTATCAACAATTATTAACCCTCATTCTTTCTAATGCTAATACTATTAAATACAATGCATCTCACACAAACATGTTTATATCTATTTCTTCTCTGTGTGTAGTCACCCTTTGCTTCAGATCGGCAAGATCCCTATATATTCAGTGTTTCATTATCAAAGTAAATTAACAAATTTTCTTTTTTTTTAAATAATAATTATTATTAATATTTTTTTCAAAATAATATTTTGTTTAAATAATTTCTTTTTATTATTTATACCCCATATACTTTCTTTCAAAACATAATCATGTAGGGCTATTATCTGACCTCTTTGCCATACTGCAGGAGGATATCATTGAACTTCTTCATCATCTGCGAGTTGATGGCCTCGCGTGAACGGATGTGTCTGAACTTGAGCAGCATGTCAAAAGCGCCCTCTGCCGAGCGTAGCGTCTTGAAGGACTCGTCGATGAAATGCTTAGCCTCGTCTTCTATGGCTGCGACCTCCTTGTTAAACCACTCCATGACCTTACGCCATTGGAGCTGGTGCTTCAGGCTGAAGGGTTCAAAGGTCACCTAGAAAAACAGACAACACAACATTCATTTAACACATACCTAGCATACTGTAAAGACTGTACAAAAAACAATATGTAATCATTGTCTCTACCCCTTCTAACCACATTAAAAGGTGTTTTTTATCCCTCATTATATTTAAATAATAAATGAAAAAATTAGAAAAAGGCAATTAAAATTTTTTCTTTCTGTGATACATGTTATTATATTCATAACGCCCCGACGGTCAATCCATTCAAATCCCTTCTGAAGACATTTATGTTCATCCAATAGTCTGTAATTATATGCTAGTTTATGTCATATAATGTTATTTCCTTACTACAATAAAAGATTGTAATTATTTAACTATCATAATTGTGTTCATAAGCTTATATCATTTATATTATATCTGATTTTGTCAACATTGTATTTCTGTTAATTCATGCATATTTAAATCTTTAGATTATTCATGTAATTTATTGTATAATTGATTGTTGTAAAGCGCATAGAGAATTTATTATTAAGCGCTATATAAAAACGACTTTATTATTATCATTACATTTATTTTCAATTATGGGTACCTTACCAAGTCATATTATGCCATTTTCTTCAGCTATATTTGAGAGAATAACTCTTACAAACTGGAGAATACTTCCCTTCAAGATAGGACTCTTTTCATAAAATAGAAAATAGTGTATCTACACAAAAGAACTATTTGTATGAAAGGCAGTTCTCTATGCCCAATATGAAATGCACTGCTAATGATATTCAACATGGTTGACATTTGATTAACTTTGAAATGACAACTTACATCTTGTATAGGTTCTACAAGGCCATCCACTCTCTTCAGCACATCTTCAATGCGCTGTGGATCACCTGTTACAGACTTCAGCTCAGGTCCAAAGATGTTGTAGAATTCCTCAAGGACCTGAATGAAAAGAATTCAAAAATCACAAAATGCATGTATAAAAATTAAACCAAAGTTCACAAAAATACCTAACACAAATTAGATAGTTTTCATATTAGCTGCATTTGTTCAGAATATATATCCCCCATAACAACATACAAACAATTAAGGAAAATTGAAACTGTGGAACAATGGACTAATTTGCACAAAATCAGAATGGCCGCCATTGAAGCAATGTTTTGCCTGATCTCTGTATCTGAGACTAATAACCCAATTATATAATTACCCAAAACAAATTAAATAATTTTCCACATTACCTGTATTTACGTAAGAAAAAATCAAGGTTGTGGAACAATTTCTAATTTGCATTAATTCAAAATGGCTCCTAGTTTGTCTGTATCGCCCAACTTCAGTCATCCCCAGTCGATCTGTTGACTTCATCTGGTTTCATTTCCCCATCCATTCCTAAACTCTTGCAAGGTAGACTCGCATCTACTAGCAGCTGCTGAACAATTAACCTAAACCGCAGCCACAATATAGGCTTACTAGAGACACAGACACCTTCTCTACAAGCTAGACCACCATGGAGTCATGGGGAAAGAAAAAAAAGGTGAATCAAGAATTTTCTTGATCCACCTTGTTCGTGGTAGTGCTTGAGGGACACATCTCAGAGGGAGTTGCCGTAAACTCTGGCATACCACAAGGATCTGTACTAGGTCCAAGCGAAATAATTATCAGTGAGAGAATCATCGTACCTGTGCAACATCATAGATGTTCTGGCAGATGGTGGCCATGTAGTCCGTCCGTTCAAAGAGCTTCTTGCGGTCAAACTCCCAGCGGGCATCGCGTCCGGAGGCTTCAATCTTGGCCCTGACCTCAAGGTAACACTCCTTCCACATCTCCAAGGTCTTCTTGGCCTCTGCTGTCTTGGCTTTCACTTGCACAGGTGAATCCCTGAAAATATACATATAAATGAGTTATCTTTTTCAAATGATACTTGCACAAAACTGATAATCACTTAATTCTTAGCACCATTTCTTTTCTAGAGGAGCATAGTATACAAGGGAGTGGTAAAAGATTGGTGAAAGAGTGGTTAAGTAAACAGAAAGTGTTTTTTACAAATGTTCTCACAAATTGTGTCTTGATTACTTTGCAACATTACATGAAATTGACTCAAGAAGTATGTTAAGATCAAATTTCTTTCATCGAGCACATGTACATGTACAGCTTTAGGTCAGGACCCTGTCTAATAAAGAGTTATGATTGATCCAAAATGATCTCAAGGCCTTTCAAACAATTGCAAGTTTACAATCGCCTATCTGTCAGGTACAGAGTTGTGATTGACATCTAACTCTAGTTCGGTTGTGATCTCTTTTAGTCAATCACATATATCTTTATAAGATGGAGCCACACGTGAAATGTGTTAAGTTATCAGTTCTAAATGGTTTGGGGTCTTACTTGAATATGGTCCTGATGTTAATGACCTTCTCAACTCTCTCAGCCAGTTCCCAAGCGATTCGTTCCATCAGAGGAATCATACGCTCATCCGTATTGTAATGCCTAGAGATGATCCACACCATACGCAAGGCATTCATCATGGACGGGATGGTGTCCAGGACAATCTGAAACCCTGCACCATGCGTCAGGTTCTTGAAGTGCCTCTCCAGGGTGCTGAGGAAGCGGACATTGTCCTTTGCCTCTACGTAGTACTTGTTGAGCTCCGCCCTGTTGAGATCGAAGCTCTGCAGGATGGCATGGTCACCCATGGCGTCCTTCTTGGCCAGGATGTCCAGCATCTTCTTGACCTTTGGCATCTTAATTTGCTCGCTGAGAGCACTCAACGCTGCGTTCCGTTCTCGCCAGAAGTCAATCTCAGCAAGTGGGCCGTTTCCATGAGGAGTCTTCTTCAACTGAACCTCCACGGCACTTGCAATCTGTTTCGTCCATTCAAGCGTTGCGTTCTCGATCTCATGTATGAGGACGTCGTTCTGGGCCAGTTCGCTCGGGTCTCCGTCGGTGCCGAGCTCCGGAATGTCCAGCCGCACCTCCCCTTCGATCTGCTGGATGGTGCGCTCGATGTGCTTGGCGAACTTCTCCATGTTGATGAGAAAATCGTCCCTCAAGAGAGCGTGCTTCTGGAGTTCAGCCACGTTGACCTCTTCTTGTTCCTCGTCGGAATCATCCGGGTGGATGCCGAGGCTGTCCTTGGAGGAGGACGAGAGGGCAGCTGCTTTCTGCTCTGCTTCGGTTGGAGCATCGCCGTTCTTGTGAGCGCTAAAAGACAGCAGGGGAATGTACACCTGGATGGGAATCAAATGCAAAAAAAAATGTCATTTCATAGTTGGACATAACTTTTCCATCCAAACAGAATGGTGGGTATACAATATGGCTGGGTATACAATAAGGCTATACAATGTATCTCAGGGCCCGTCTTACAAAGAGTTGATATCAATCGCAACTTATTTGCGACTGATATCAATCCCGACTATGTACATTACAGATAGGAGACTGCAAACTAGCGATTGATTGGAGGACTCGCGATTGACTTAGATCAATCGTAAGACATTGTAAGACGGCGCCCAGAACTTGCTATTGCTCTGCAGATGGAATAGAAATTTCGGTCACTTGAATTTACAATATCCTGTAGCAAAGTGGGATGAACTAAGAAAATATATTCTGCAATGCTGAAACAGACCAACACCTGAAGCCTTTCATTTTTAACTACAGTCTCAACAACACAATACAAAATTCATTCACAAAATATGAACATCAAGATCTACTTAGATGTTTCTTTCTGTCAGAATCAATTTTCTCATATATTTTTCCAGGCTAAAATACACTGAATTATAAACAACGTTTTGAATTCTGATTCTTACCTGTGTGATAATCTGTTCCAGCATGACCAAAGAATGACCGTTGAGGATACCGTACTCAAAGAACTTTGGTAGCATGTTTTGTGCTTCATCCATGGTGTTGGGTAGGTCCACCATACCCGGTGTATTGCGGATGAAGTAAATGCAGTCTTCCTCCGCAACCTGCTCCGGTACGTGTCCATGGCACATGTACAGCAGCGTGCGCATGAAGGTCTCTCTGACAATTTTCTGAAGATAGCAGGTAAAACTGTATTAATTTAGCAGGCTTGTTTTAAATCCTAGTAAACATTTTAATTCTGACCTGTTTTCTTTACTCCTAATTTTACCCTGAAAGATATATTTGTCTATGATTGTCAACATAGGAGCACAATACATCACTTTGTCCATTAAAGGCCAAAGGACATTAACTCTAGGTAAAAAAAATGTACCGGGTATATTCATACCTACATGTATCTGATTCTCCACACAAGGTTATGTGATAAAAGTAAAAATAATTTGTAGTAGAAGAAAGGATATTATCCAATGATAACAAACATTCATTTGTAAATTCTAATGAGTTTTTCAAACAAACAGTTTTCCTCTCTAACCTGGGGTTCTATGAGACTGCAACACACGCTCCATGATCAATATTATGTCACTAACAAAATTCCTAACTTTAACAGTTAACCCTCACCCTAAGCCCAACCTAAAATCTAACTGCAACCCTAAAAGTCTTACATCTTCCAAAAACTAAATACCAGAGCAATTGTCAACAGAGCAAATGTCAGGTCACCAATTGGGGTATCAGAGTCTCTCGCTCAAAGATTCCACCATAGACTGTGAGTTTAATGATGAATGATGTTATTGTATTTGTGCATTCCCTTATTATTGATGTACTATTTTTGCAACTATAAGTTATAGGGGGCTGCAATCTACAAGCACAGCTTTTCAGCAGTCCCCTCCATGACCAACCAGTTTTATATGCCTGTTGTACACTGTGGACCAATTACAAATATATTGTTAAGTTTCATTGTTTTACTATGTACAATGCAATCCCTTGTACTTTGTTTATTTGTTGGAACTGGAAATGGAAGTAAACGAAATGGAAATTGTGACAATTAAGGGTACTGTAAGTAAGGCTACATACTGTTGTAGGTTGTTTATCCGGGGATGGAGCATCTAGATCTATATCTTCCACAGGTTCAGGTTCAGGTGGTTTAGGTTCTTCACGGGGTGTCTCTGGTTCTGGCTGAGCGTCTGTCCTTGCCGATTGATTCCTCTTTCCTTTCTTCTTCTTTTTCTCTGTAAAATTACATAGAATTAAAGATAAAGGTGAGTTCTGGTCATGCGATTGCATTGTGAAAGAAACGTTGTGGAATCGATCAGAAAAGGTTGATCATCTAGCATATAAGTATTGGTGTGTACTGCAAGGTTCAGGAATCATCAAAATGATAAGAAATTTGGCCCAGTCAATCAAAGCCATTTTTCAAGGGTCTCTCTATTGAATGATCCTACAAAATTTACAACAAAGATGCAATTAAAGAATCTCCTGAAATTCTCTTTCATCTCCTGTTCAAGCTTGGTATATATTTATATATATATATATATATATATATATATATATATATATATATATATATACAACACTTATTTTACAGAAAAAGATTTACCCTTTATATGGATAGTAAACAGTGCACAGGAACAGTGGCATACTGTGTAAATTATTTTAAAGTGATTCATGTACATGTATATAATAATAATTATATTCGGTTCTTGTATAGCGCATCACATTATAACGTCCAAAGAGATTTGAAAATTATTACCCTAGCTTTAGCTCTGGCAGCTGTTTTCAGCGCGCAGTGCATTTTTAAAGAATAATCCTACCAGGTACCCATTTACCTCACCTTGGTCGAGTGTGGCAAATGTAGATAAATGTCTTGCCAAAGGATATTAGTGCCACGGCAGGACTCAACCCCCGGACCTTGTGATCTACAGTCCAGTGACATATCCACTCGACCAAGACATCTCTGCACGTATTTATCCGATATATATTTATGCTTAACTATCAGTCTTGCCTAGTAGAGAATCACATATAATCCCTTTTCAATGAAAATATATTATTCCCTTGCTTCTCTTGCATCTGGATGTCTGTTGATTTTACAATGGCTCGTTTCTTTTCCACAAGCCGACATCGATATCATCGCAAAGACTAAAAATGCAAACAAGAGTTTTGAGATTCCTGTATTTCCTTTGCAAGGAGAACTTACTCTTTCCCTTCTCTTCCGTGGGTGTTTCGGCCAGTTCTGCAGGAGTGGGCGGAGTCTCTTCGATGGGTGTGGCACCCAACAAGTTATCATCCATGATTTCAAGGAGGCCATCTGTCTCTGAGGGTTCTAGAAATGGAAGATAGAGAATCAAAACACAATCCTGAACCTCTTTCACATTCTATAGCAGGTTTCGGTGGCTTGTCATATAGACTAGTCTAATTTGAATTGAGTTCTGATAATTTTGAGCTTGGGGAAAAAAAGTGAGTCAGAGCTAATGGGGCTGCTGCATAGCTGCAAACTGAGCCCATGTCAACAAAACTGCAAAGAGTCAGTTTTTATTGACAAATTGATAACCGACCCTGGTCGTTCCCTGGGCTTGGCAATGCATGTTTGCAGTAGAAATGAAATTAATTCTAGCACTGAGTGTGCCAGTGGGGGCTGCTAATGTGACCTTTATTTTAATAGAACACTACCACTTTGCTCTCTCGGCGATCTCACTCCAGCAAAGCATAGAGAGTCATGCTAACGCGTATTGACCTTTAGCACTGCATACTTGCTGTGAGGCAGGTATTATTAGACCTATACACAAATATACACACCACATAATATTGCATAGACTGCACACAATAGGACCGATTGGGCTGATTGGCAAATTTGACACTAGGCTTACAATTTGAATTTTTAAATTATTCTTTTTAACATCAGTAAGTTGGAGAAAAAAAAAGCATTTTACTGCTACATCTAGATATCTAGAGTCCATTTACTTAGGTGTCATCCATTGTCACTAAGTACGGATTTTTAGTGAAATCAGTTGAGTTTTGTACAGTGGTGTTTGAAATGTTGAGAATCAAAAGCACAGCTTTTACTAGACCGAATTTTCCGTCTCTTTCGTTCGTTAGCCTCTTATTGGGGTAGGGTCGGCTCTCTCTTTAGAGACGGAAACCGTCTATACACATTCCCTTGATAACGCCACGGCCATTTCAGGTCGTAGCGTTTTGCCCCCAAAATCCCCCAAAATGTCATTTTTTTACCTCGTGCATTTTATATTGTAAATTAGGCCTAGAGTCTAGGCTATAATAAATCAGTTCCACTTACCAACTTGACTGAAATAATCAGTTTAATAGTCCCTTTTTAGGAATTTATGGGTCAAAATCGAAATCCATGTTGAAAAAGATTTTCAAAATGGATTTCGATTTTGACCCATAATTTCCTAAAAAGGGACTATTAAACTGATTATTTCAGTCAAGTTGGTAAGTGGAACTGATTTATTATAGCCTAGGCCTAATCATTTACATGTGGATATGCACGAGGTAAAATGACATTTTGGGGGATTTTGGGGGCAAAACGCTACGACCTGAAATGGCCGTGGCGTTATCAAGGGAATGTGTATAGACGGTTTCCATCTCTAAAGAGAGAGCCGGCCGACCCTACCCCAATAAGATTAAGAGGCTAACGAACGAAAGAGACGGAAAATTCGGTCTAAGCTTTTACTACACAGCCAGGATAGTGACTAGTGATGCTCCTAGAAATCTAGATGTGTGCGTCGCTTCTGATACCTGGAATCTGGATTAGGATAGGAATGTCTTTCTGATCTAGATCTAGTAGACCTAGATCTAGAGGAATCTAGATCTAGACCTGGATTAGATAAATCTGTGTAGAGTGTCTACAGTCTATATGAGAAATCATGGATCAAATGTCACATTCCTAATTATTTGTTAAATCATGTCCACGAACTCTGGACACCCCATATCCATCATACCTAGTATGCTGTCCTTCTTGACTATCCATGACCATGTTGACTGCCCAAATTGTGCGCTCACACGTACACGCCAAGTCAGGCGAGTCAGGCCAGCAGGCGACGTAACTCCAGGGAGCTCCTCCCCCAAACCGCGGGGGAGCTCCCTGGAATTACAGGCGCGGCGACGCAGCTGAGAAGGCTAAATCGGTAGTGTCTACCGACTGTATTCGATGCGTTTTTTCTGTTTCATCAAACAGATCTTGGGATTTTTTGCTCATTTTCCATGTAGCTTGTTAACTTACCGATTTCTATTTCAACCTCTCTTTCCTCTTGTTGAACTCTTTTGTAAAATATGGCAGCTGATTTGCCTTCCTCTGGAGTTTCATTTAGAAATTTGGCAAGGCCCATTTCATATTCGCCGTCATCTCGATTCATCAACTCCTCAAAAACTTCGGGATCAGAAATGTTCAAGGCATGATAGACCTTGTCTCTCAGCCATTCGAAACGAATATCATCCATGGCTTCGGCTGTCCTTCTTTAATTCTCCAAAAAAATTGTTATTATGTCGTTATTTTCAACATATTTTAGCTTACGTTTCGGTCCCGAATTTCACCTCAATTCAAATCACACAACTATCGAATGTATCCTATTCACGCATCTGAGCAGCTGCACACGTTCGCGTAATAATTGATTGATAAAATAGATCTATATATTTTCATGAAAGTTCAGAAAATAATATATCATTAAGATTACTCATAACATTTAGGATATTTCGAATACGATTTCTTGTATTATTTATTTTAGCATTCTGAAGGAAATTTAGATAAAACCGGGATAGTAATATCCTATTCCATTACTATGTATCATTCCGCGTTCAACACGGCCACCTCAAGCGTTCATGACTACAGACAGGAAAGGGTTGCTAGGGAGTAGAAGTTGCAATATTTTGGTTAATTTGAGACAGATACAGGTTTTTAGAATTCATGGTTTGGGAAAACATGGTGTAAAATATTATTTGTTCGTACTATTTGTGTGTGTCTCTGCGTTACCTGCACCACAAAAAGGATATAAAACAAGAGTCACGATTGGTTTGATAATATGCTCAATTTGCCTACCAATGCGAAACACCTGTAACAGATCGAAACGTCGACAGCATAGTCTACATAAACAGGCGCATTAACAAAACAAAAACAATTGTTATGCCTGTATATCACACCGCGCTAGCAGCACTACACAGTAACATTGAGGAAGGGACACAATGTCGATGGGGAGGGGGAGTGGATAATGGATAAGGTCATGTACAAAAATATATACATGTTTATCGTCCCCGCCCGCTTCCTTTTTGGGGGCCGCCTCCTATTTATTTTTTTTGAAATTTTTTTTTAAAGAAAAAAAAACATGAAAACGCTGCTAAAATGGATCTATTTCTGATTTCAAAAAAATAAAAAATTTGTCGGCCGCCATCTTGAAAAATAGCCCGAATGTCAGGGAAAATGTACTGAGCGGCCATTTTGAGCAGCCGTTTTGAAGGGCCTCCTCCTTCCTATTTTTCGAGAAAAAAGGACGCTAAACATTTTTTTTTAAATATTTGGCCTAATAACGGGGATATATAGTGGGCCTAATCCAGACGAGGATACATGTTCCAATTCATTAATTTTACAGATGAGGGGGGGGGGGTGTTGTCTTTCATGCCTACGTCGTTACGAATTGCAAAGTTTCATTAATCATTGCAAAATGAGGAAGGACACAAACATCAAATTTGGCTTTGTGCTGCCATGTACTTTTCCTCTTCGCAATTAGCACTCATGCTGAAGATCGATTTGACAGTGAAGGGTGAAACACGGGAAAAGATATTCAAGAGATATTAATCTGTACGAATAGTTACATGACGTAGAGGGAGGGGGATATGGTGCATAAACAATTGGGACTGCGCGTCTTAAAATGCGTCCAACGATTTTGTTTTGTTAAACAGAGATTTTGTTATCAAAATGGATGTGAATAATATATAGGGCATACAGCTATTTTGTATGCTTGCCGTGTCAAAAATTCATTCGGACTCGTACCCCCTCCCCCTGCCCCTGCAAATTTATGAGGCAAGAAACGTTTGCAAATCGGGTGAAAAATAAGCATTTTAACCAATCGATACGTTTTATGGACCACTGCCTAGTGCAGCTGAGTCTGAAATAAAGTTCTGAATTGAATTGAATTGATATGTTGTTGTTAAAGTCGTGTTGAATCGCTCAACGCCATTGCATAGACAGTCATTCTTGTGAGTCAGGGGCGGCGACTTTTTTTTTGGGGGGGGGGGCGCATTCGAGAAATCATGCGTGTGCTTGTAAGTAAGCAACACGAGAACCGACGGCTGCAAGTCCACTCCGAGGGACTTGGTAATCAATGAGGATTAATATGCCTTACCAAATGGCGCATCGACTTGGTTTCGAACCCGCGACCTCCCGGTTACCAGACCACTGCTCTTCTACTGAGCCATCACGCCTCCAAATTGGTTGTTGAGTGATGACATTCAGACAAGAGGGGTTATATCCGGTATGGGCCCGTCCATTCCAGTTTTTAACTATAAAAAATAAATTAATTGCATAGCGCCCCTTCACTGCATTTGCTCATGTGTCAGTTGTTTCCAAAAACACATTTAGAGAAAGAAGTATGTATTTTATACCATACAATTGAGAACAAATTAAGTAATAATGCAATGTATAGCATGAGTCGTAGTAAAGCCAGCTCTGCATAAACAAAATCAATACTACTTTCAACTTTCAGGCTCCGTACCCTAGAGACGATTCAGGCTGCCCCTCCCCCCCCCCCCCCCCCCTGTTGATCTATCTCGAGATACGCCACTGATTTGGGGAAACAATCTTGATGATCAGAGCTTTGCATACATCGATTTAGACATAGTTGCTTGGGCAGGGGGTTTACAAACTGATCTCTGCGAAAATAAAATAAATGAAATACATAAATGAATAAAATCAATGGGTCTTTAACACGTATATACGCCGGTAAGAAGATCAACTGTATACCTACGTTGTGCTGACAATATAGTGTCTCATGCATTGACCGCTCAAATCAGAGCTGAGCGGAGGTTGCCTTTAAGCGATGCGCCGAACCAGTATACGTGAGTCGACGTGAGTCTATTTGTTTTCTCTTCGTTTCTTCTTCACACAACCGTGGTTTTTCAATCTCGAAGATACTCTTTCTTCAAATATATTTCGTAGACGGTTACCACACGTACGACAGAAAATGCATTGAATGTGGATGAACATAGAGGGGTAAGAAACTTGACAACATTTTAACGTATTTTGACGATTTTGGTACACTCTAAAAACTGAAAACTCTTTCAAAATAGTAGATTGTCACTTTGAACATGCTGGATCCAACACTATAAAGGTTGAATCTAGCAGGTTAAAAGAAACAGTCTGACATTTTGAAAGAGTGGTCACTCCTCGGCCCTTTTAAATTGACATTTAACATTTCAGTTTTTAGAGTCTACTATCAAATGACTTAGGGGATGTTTCTTCCATTTCAGTTTAGCTTGGTGAAGTTGTATATCGTTGAAGTAGAATGTTTTTGTTTTTGTCTTTGGGAATGCATCTTAATAAAATCCACCTTTAAATCGCCTACACGTTCCAAAAAACGATCAATTATGATTCTCGATGTCAAACAAATATAACAGTATTTGAACATGGGGGGTGAGGGGGCCGGATCGTCTTCTTCTGCTTCTTTTTCTTCTTCTCCTTCGGGATTACTGTCCAGCATCCCTAAAATGGGTTAAACTAAATAGATATATAATAGTGTGTAAAATGGACGCACCCCCCCCCCTTTTTTCAGGTCATTGGGTCAAACGTTTGTAGTATATGTCCGTCATAATTGTATAACCTCGTTTTCTACAGCGTATTTTTGCTTATACATGTAAGTTGACGTTACACACCGTTGTGGTTGTTATTCGACGTGCCTTAACTTACACCCCTAAATTCCCTCTTTTTTGGAGTTGTACTATAATGCTGAATTGGTTTGATTCGATTAGTTATCATATCAAACGGACGTTTAAATTGCATGGTCATGTTATTATGACTTTAAAACAAGTTGTAATGCTTTCTAAACACGATCACAACTATTTGCGAATAAGAAGGAAAATATATATGTTTTCGAAAAAAAAATCAACCCAAGGAAATTTCAATAGCTTTGCCTGTCGCTTGTTCAAAATGAATATGGAACATGACAATTAATACGATATCACGTAATCCGTACGTGATTTCCATGGGGAATTGAAATTACCTTTGAGTTGATAGTTCGAAAAAATCACTGCGATCTTATGACTGTTTTCTGAAGAATCGATTAATTCTTGTTGACCTAGTATCATTTTATTACATTATTTTATTCCAGTTTAATCTAGATATGCAGAGTTGGTACATGATTGCTTTACAAGCGTAGCCTACCGTGCGTTGTATTTCGTCCATTTGATTTTTTTTCTATAATTTGATTTTACAATGTCTGACTTCGTTTATACAGTAAAGAAGAGAATATTTGGTTTTTTTCTTCAATTATGACCTGATTAATAGTACACAGCAATGAGGGCATTAGTTAGTGTTGGTAATTTGACTAATGCCCGAACAAAATGATGTGTATTATATGTTTTATAAGATGTTTTATTTGTGTTATATAATGATGTTTTATTTGTGTTATATAATGATGTTTTATTTGTGTTATATAATGATGTTTTATAACATGATTTGACTAATTACCGGTCATAAGTATTTACTAATGACCGGTCATTAGTAAAATTACGTGTTAGACAAATAAATGCCCTGTCACGTGTACGCTCGTATCCAATCATTTCATTAGGATCGCTTCATCATCTTAATTATGAACGTTGACAACCTTTCTTGCCTTCATAAATTCCATGCAGCTAATTTCAAATATCATGCTGTAAGCATAATTATTATGCACAACCCACCTTGAACCTTATGCAGCGAAAGTCTAAGATTTGATGCTTTAACAAAACCTAGTTGTTTTTGTTTACCTCTCGACAAACGGGCACGTCTTTTACCCGCCATAAGCTTAGAAATGTGTAGTGCATTGTATACATCAACTCTCTGAATTCAAAAAAATCTGAAGCCGTGCTTTTCTTTTTCTTGCCGCAATTATAAACTATTGCCATGGATATTAGCAAGCTAGTGAATGTTGAAATAACTTTGACATTCAATTCACTTTCGAGATTTTCAAGGTGGACATGCGATTCGTTTGAGCACGAATATGAATGGCAGCTCAATCAATGTAATTCGTATTCGTGCCCTTTAGTCGCGTTTCCTGGCGACAAAGAACAAATAAATACTTTTAACAAAAATTCATATGCATTTTCATGCATATGACAGATACAGTTGAGTACTGATCACTTGTGTAAAAGGAACTGAAATGATGTACGGCTGATTATGTAGTACATTATTGTTGAACGCTGCATGTAAGGATTTTCAATGACCAAAACGTAATCTTCCTGAACTTCGCTTGCACCACAAAAATTGGTATTACACACACACACTTGGCATGAAACTGGCAAACTTTTCAGCTATTCATCGTCCTATAACTCCTATTTTAACTTTGTGGACTTTTTGAGAGCAATCCTTTTCATAGGGCATTTGTGACA